CAAACTGGCCCAGTTTCTTGCAGATTCCCCAGTTCCTACAGCTTCTCCCAGCAATCAGACAGAAGGTATGGTGCTGTGCTATGAAAATGTAAAATCTGGGTTGTGTAAAATGCTTCACTACCAAAACCAGTCATCTGAAATGTAATCGATAGCTGTTCCTGGATTTTCAGCACCATCTGTATTCTGTATTAATGGAAGTTGGTGGAGAGTGATGATATGCCCCAGTACAAGTCACCTCTCAGTCCTTTGCAGGGAGATTTTTAGGAGGAGGAATAATGTTGTTTGGGCAGGCAAGAGTGTTTTGTTTGGTTTGTGGTGGGAGCTGTGTGTTTAACTTGTCTCAGTTTAGAGTGCTCCGACCCTTCCCAGGTGCCAGCCAGGGAGCAAACACCCAGGCAGCAAGTGGGATCATTACATTTACCTCACCTCAGCATGTTCTGCTGCTCCTCAGGTGTTTGGAGATCAGCTGAGACAATTCTTGCTCACACCATGCTGTGGGACTTGCTAGTGAACTGACCCTTTGGTGTGCAAGGGACAGCCCAGCTGGGGCCAGGGCTGTTAGGGTGTCTGTCTTACCTATGGTTTATGTCATGGCCCCTTCCTTTGTTTTCAAGCTGGAAAAGAACTTCCCAATCACTTTCAAAGATGTGAGAACAGAGAGAGTTTTGAGAAAATTTGATTGAGGCTCCACTTCTCTCCTTTGCAGAATTGCATGAGGAATTCTGAGTGAGCTGTGCTGTACATAATGCCTCCAGGTATCAGTGGTAAGTCCCACAGCTCCTTTTAGCTTGTGATTTACAAAGAGAAGGCCACAGTGTGATTTCGTGTCGTTCTGCACATGCTGTGGTTTATATAAAGGGTGCAGCCCTTTCTATGTTGAATGTACATGCCCAAATGTGCACACAAAAAATGCTGAGTGCTCCCCTCCAGGGTAATGCCTAATGTCATACAGACCCCAAATTCAAGGACAAGCATACAAAAAAAGTAGCTTAAACTATTGTTATATGAGTGTGAACTTTATTACTTATCAATACCTGTCCAGAGCATAGAACGCAGGAAAATGGAGACACAAAATATGAAGACAATACATAGCAGCTAAAAAAGCAATGCCGGACAGTGGAAAATAATATCTGTTATTTCTTTCATTTTCTTTTTCTCAGGATTTTTAAATTGCAAATGCCCATGAGCATCCAAAAGCTGATCAAAATGCGACTCATGAAAGCCTCCCATTTATATGCCAAGCAAGCATTCCCCAGGTGGGCAGCTCTAATGTGATTGCCCTGAGGTGGAAGGGCCACCCACAATGTGGAAAGAGTAATTTTCCAATTTCCCTCCGTGCCAGCTCAGTCAGAGCCCTCTGCTCAGGCTGCCAGCACAGGTGGCAGCGGTGCCAGCTGGGATTCAGTGGCACAGCAGGGCACTCCCTCCCTCAGCTGTGAACAGGCAATGCTCCTGGTGGCAGTGCTGTGCTGTGGGAGGGGCTGTGCTCTTGGGGAAGTTTAGGTGCTGTTTTATGTTGGCATCTGCTGCCAGTTCTAGTCTGGCCAACATTTTAAGCTGCGTTTTGGTTTGGGCTCAAGAGCAGCTGTCTTTGTGGGACCCACAATTCCCCCATTCAGGGTTGTGTAAACAGAAAAAGTGCAGCTCTTGGTGGTGGTGAAAGTCCCTTTCTTGTCATCCATATTTAATTAGGGAATATTACTAGTCTTAGGCTTAAGGTTTAGGGCTAAAAAAGTAAACATAGTGGGGCCCAGGATTTTCCAAGATGCTCAAAGAGATGAGAGTTAACAGGGTAGGAGCTGGCCTTGCATGTGGCTGATGTTGTGTCTGGCCCCTGTTCCAGCCATGATCTGGTTTCATGTTGGGAAGTAGCTTTGTGTTGGGGGAAAAAAGCATCCATGGCTCAGGGCATCCCAGGGGCTTCTCAGTGCACAATCCAGCAGCTCTACAACCATGCAGGCGTACACCCCAGTACACCCCAGCTGTGCTCAGAGGCAGGGAAGTCTGAAAAATATCCACTGCATTACTGTAGCATCCTTCAACATTTAAACTTCTATTGTATAAAAATTCAGGTTGTCTAACAAGCTCCAGTAGATATTGCTAATCAGTCACCCAAACTTCTGTTCTGAAGATATTGGAATATTTTTTGGATGTTTTTTGTACTGAATAGTAAACAAAACCCTGGGAAACCAGTTGGTCCAGATCAGGTGGGTATATTTCATTTTTCTTCTATGTTTCTTGCTACTTGATATGCTAAAGACGTACAAAATAGCAAGTTTCTTCTACATAGAAAGAGGGATCCTACCATTTCCAAAAATGTTGAGACAGAAGGTACTGGTTTCCTGAAACCTCTTCCTGTCCCTTTTCTTCCAAAGGAGAAAATTCATCAAAATAAGCCTGGATCCATGAGCTGTGTTGGTTTTGATCAAAGTATGTTTTCTGACAGAAAAAACAACTCTATTGAATGTTGCTGTGTTAGGTATGGCTCTGACTGTGCATAGACACACATTAGCTAGGTTTCCAAACTGTAAGGGGATTAAGAGCTCAAACTCATTGAAATTCAGGAGGGAGGCATTTTGCTTCCTTGGAGATGCAGGCCCTAGAGATTCAGATCCCCAGGGGATGAAACCAGGGCAACAGACAGCTATTAACTTTGACAAGAGCTCTCCATCACTTGTTCTAGGAGAATTCTCTGTAGAAAAAAACCCATGTTGTTAGTTCTGGGTTGAGGAGGCAGATGAGAAGACATTTAGGTGCTATTTATATTTTTTTTGGGCACCATGCAAATCTATTTCTGTGATTTTGTCAGTGGTTTAATACTATTTTTGACAGAGGTGGGATGATTAAATCTACAACAGGGACTAAATTTATATCCATCTTCTATATGTGTATCTGCTCCCACACAGTTTTCAGCTTTGGATCACCATATCCTGAATTTAAATGCACTAAAAATACATTTGTTTTTCATAGTTGCCTGCTGCAGGTTTCTCTTGGCTTTACAGGCCACTGCTGCAGTGACAGATTGGTTCAACATGGAGCTTTTGTAAATAGTTCTCTACAAATATAATCACACAGAGCCAGAACGAAGGCCTGATCCCATAGGAGATGGTCAGAAAGAGATCAAGATGTCAAAGAGCCTTTCCCTGGTTAAACTTCTGAGCTTCTGGCAGGTGATAATGTAGTGCTGAACTGGGCCAGGGTTTGCATCTGTGTCATCACATTTGTTAGTCATCAGTGAACCCAGTCTTCATTAATTTGTCTCATCCATTTGCAGCCTTTTGCTCCCTGTACCATTTTCTGGTAAATTCCATTATGGGTGATGAGTTTTGTTAATATCGGCCCAAGAGTTTTGCTTTTCTCCTTTGGAGAGCTTTACAGCTGACCTGTTCTGCAGGCAGAGGTGTCCTGCCAGCAGCACGGTGGATCCCAGGGGCTCTGCAGGTGCCCACAAGCCCTGTCCACAGCATGGGAGCAGCACAGCACTGCAGCAAAGGCCTCTCCCATGGCCCCCTCCAGCATTTGTCAGGGTAAGGTTCACCATAAACGTGTAACAGGATCCAGCTGTCAGCTCCTTCTGTAGGAAAAATAGACTGGAGCTGCCCAGCCTGTCCCTCCCCGGCTGAGTGATGAGAGCTGACCCTGGAGCCCTGCTCATCTTCAGGCCAGGGCTGGGAGGGGAGGCTCTGCCTCTGGGGTCATGTCTGGGGAACAGTCCCCTGCTCCCTTCTGCAGCTCAGCAAACAATGATGAAACTTGTGTGCGACTGAGGGAGCCAAAGCTTCCTCTGTGTGAAGCTGCTTCCTGCATCTGCACCTGCTTGCAGTGTTTGCACTGCATGCGCCCACCTCACCTGTGCCATGCAGGCACCCAGCATGTGCAGCCTCTGCCATTCTTTAAAGCGCTGGGATGGGGAACTCTGATCAATTCCTTGGACCCATCCTTCACTCTGACTCTTAATTAACCCAGAAAACTCCATTAACACATCCTTAAAGAACAAGTGCTTTGCTGCAGGTCAGGTTTAAACAGCTCATGTCCAATGTAAACATCTCAGTGCTTGGCAGCCAGGTGCTGCAGGATCACAGTCACAGAATCATCTGAGCTGAAGGGACCACAAGGGTCACTGAGTCACATACTGTCACTGATGGAGCTCCTTTCCAGCAGGTTTATCTGTGAGCATCCTCAGTGTGGCTGATTTTTAACCACATAGTGTATTGGCATGTTTATTTTTTTAATTAGTGAAAACACCTTATATGTGTCAAACCAAGCAATTTTAAAAAAAGCTATTCTGTTAACTTTTTCAACGTGTTGATGGTTAAACACGCTTCTTAGTATGTTGAAATTTTCTGCTGAAAGTAAAAGATGCTTTCAGCAATTCATGCTGCTTAAGAATTAAATGATCAGGCCAACTCATATAAAGAACATTCTGCATTTTTAATATGCAATGTTGTGTAATTTTTTGCTATCATAAGTGCTTTCTTTTAAACTGTAACAATAATTTCTACTGTTTTTGCTAATACTAGATTTTCTTCTTTTGTAGCTTCTCAAGATTACCAGAGCTAAAATGAAAATAAACTGCTTCTAACTCTTAAAAACAGATAACTGCCTTAGAGAATTAGAGTTCAGAAAGAAAACAAATTTCTACTTTACGTTCTCCCTGACTTGTGTGTTTGTGCAGCACAAATACAGTACCAAAAGCAAAACATGAGAGTTACACTGATTCCTCCAAATGTTGTCTCAGAGATGAGTCCCACAGCTCCCTGCAAAGTAATTGGTCTAATTAGGTGGTAGGAAGGAGCTTCTTTAAATTCCTCAGAAATTAAGACGTGTCATCCGCTTAACATCTTAGCATCTGTTACTGCCTCTTCCACATTTCTCTGCTACATCAACCTGAAGGGCACTTTCCTGGATGTTTCAGAGAGATAAAAAAAATAAAAATAAATAAAACCAACAAAAACCAAGCCCTTATAACACAGAAGATAGTTGGCTCTTTCTTCAGTGGGATGAAGCATGTAAGGCATTTCACCCCCTCCTTATTTCTCAGTTTGGTGCATGTTTGCCTGGGTGAGTACAATAATCACTTTGTTAAGTAAAAATATAGAGAAAACAAGCATAACCTTAAATCCTGTAGTTATCCTTATTGATGTGGTAATGCTGTTCTGAAATATTTTCCATGGCAACTGGTCCTTGTGCAAATGTTACCCTCCGTGTTTATATACTTGCAGTTTTGTTTCAAATGGGCTATTTTGAATCTCTTAACAGTCAGTCAGTAGAATAACAACTAATTTGTTGTTTTTTGTTTTGTTTTTTTTAAACTTTGCTGTTGTCTGGCAGCAAGTAAGTATTTAATTATGGCTAATTGCTCATGTAGTAGGCATAATTTTAAGGCAGAATGTGCTTAGAACACTGGGTAAGGTACTGTGGCACTGGGAAAGTTTCAGGCTTGTATGTGTGGAGTAGAGGAGAGATGTTCCATCATTGCAAGCTGGAAAAGTTCATTTTTCATTGAAGCTGTCTGGAACTGGTTGAGTTTTTTTAAGAGAGCTCCTGCTATTTGTTTCTGTTGGTTGGGAGGTTTTTTATATACTCTCTCTATTTCCTGCTGTGTAAATACTGGCACAGTGGCATGTAGAAGTAATTTTATTAAAAATATCTCTACAGATACAGTGCTGAAAGTCCATTGCAGCAACTGGGTGTGTTATGCACTCCTAGTATTCCCTGAACAGCTCCTGTTTACTGAGAGTCAGGTAACTGAGACAGCCAAATAACTGTCACCTACAAAATGCTTTTGTTTGGCTTCTGTTTTGTTTTAATTGCAGTTCAGGCAAATTATGCCCCCTATTTCTTTGATAATGGAGCCAGAAGCACAAATGGGAACATGGCACTTCTCAGCCTTTCAGAGGACACGCCTGTTGGTCAGTATTAAAATTTGTATGTTTAAATTGTGAAAGTGGAATTGCTTGCTCTTATGATTAACATATATATTTTCTTGTAGGTTGTTGTTATTTGCTGTGATCTTACATGTTTTTTTTCTCAAGCTTTTAATTGGCCTCAATTTAAAATGACATGTTTGAATTGTTGCTGTAATTTAAAACATTAATTCTAGCTCCCTCTTTTTTTTCTGCCTATCTATTCACAGCTTCAGAGCTCAGACCTTTGGGGTCAGAAATAAATTCTTGGTGGGAAGCTTCTTACCAATTCTATAAATGCTTATGAGAAGAAAAAATTACTAGAAATTAGGCTATCAGCCTTGATAAAAGCAAGCTGTACATTGAAAAACAAAGGGGCATGATTTTTTTCTAAACACATTTTTAATATTTATGTACAAATGGTAAAAAATGTTTCCACTTGCAGTGAAAATTGTTTTGTCTAAATAACTGATGTTTTTTAAAAAGGTTTTGTTTTGTTTTATTGAAAATTCAAAAATTGATGCAGTGTACAGATTTCAGCACTCCGAGGCAGGTCTATTTATGCTTCTTTTAACTGTAGTTGGACTATGAAAAGTTAAATAAGAACAAAACGTAACTTATAATCAATATTTTCTGTGGGGGAAAAATAATCTCCTAAGACCTAAGCAATTACATAAAAATATATATTAAGTGATGAACATCACCTTTACTTCAAACTTTGCACTGAGATTTTATTTAGGATTTTCTTCTGTTCATCTGTAGCTTTCACAGGCTGAATCAGAAAAATATTTAGTTAATGCAAACTGGGTACTGAAGCACCCCTTTACTCGTGCCTCATGCAGAGAGGAGAGATATGGCTGCTCAGGGGCGCAGCCAAACTCCCCTCCCAGGGCTCAGGCAGCTGGGGAAGGCCAGGATGAGGGAGGCATCAGAGGGCACAGCCTGCTCTGCCAGCCTGACACTGCCACCCACGCCTTCTTAAAGCACACCAAGGTCACTCTGAGCTGGAAGCAGCTGCCTGGGTTTGCTCCAAGTCTCCATTTCTGACTCAGGGGTGTTAATGTCATCCAAGACCCACACTGGGCCTGCTATAGGGTGAGGAGGGGGTATTTGGAAGAAGCAAATTCTCCTTTACCTGCTCAACTTGAGCAGAGGAGGGGGAGAGGGCAGGACATCGTGTAGAAGTGACACATCTTGACAATGAACTTAAAAGGAGCTTGCTTATGATGCAGCAGGAATTTGCCATGAGCTTGGTCAAGCTTAGGTGGAAACCCCAGCTTGAAGGCCACCAGTACTGTATTAATGTAGTGGCACTTGGAAAAGCCAGAGGCAGACCAAGGAGCTGCAATGTTTGCTGTACTTCTGCCTGGATTCTCATGGAAACCACACTTAGTTCAGCCCCCTACGGTTCTGCTGATAGCTGGAGTTAGACTGGAATCACTTGTCCAAGTGTAGATAAGGCTGTAATCCCAGACAGCCACAAAATGGGACCCCAACTCAGTTTGTTTGGGGTGGTGCTTGCCAGCTCTGCCACTGAAACCTCAGGCAGCACAACTCATTTGCCATCCAAGCCCCACTCCCTGGTGTGGTGCCAGCCTCTGCCTGCCACCACTGGGAGCCTCCAGGCACCTGCGTGGGGATGAGGAGATAAAGATGGCACAGAGCCACACAATGAGCAAAAATGTCCCTCCTGTCAGAACTGCAGCACCACATGGTCTCTCAGATGATAGCACTCCCTGCAGCAGTGAAGTACAACAGTAATTTCCACTGCATCTGATCTGGTGCTCCAGCAGCCAAAAAAAGGACAGTGTGCCTCAATAAACAGCAAAACAGCAGTGTGAGGGATCAGAGCCTGTGTTAGTGCTCTCCTAATTAGCCTGAGTAAGAGTAATGAGATATTTGTGATGGGCTTCTGTATGTGCTTTTGTAACATTAGCAACCACACTAGGAACATGGAGGTCTCTGGAGAGTTTGTGCTTTGCTTGCAGCAGTGATAAAGCTCAGGCTGTTCTTTCTTGAGAGCTGCTGTGCTTCCTGCCTGCTAGCTTCATCCAGAATGTGCTTACATGTGTTTAAATTGGCTGGCTTGTACTTCTAATTTGATGTGTAAATGTGCTTTAAAAGACAGGAGAGAAACAGCTTCTCTCTGAAAGCTCCAAAAGACCTGTAGGAACCCTTGGGAAAGAGAGATAAGACCTTACTTTTGGGAAGACAAAATGTGATTGCTTTGTCACACAGCTTCCAGTGCTTCTTTGGGCTAATTCCCAGAACACCTTGACAAACAGCTCTAAGTACTGCAAGGTCCTCTCTTCTGAAAGCACTTTCAGGAGTTCCATTGGAACATGGTTGCTTGGGATTTGCTTAATGCAAACTGCTGCTGTCCATGTCAGCGTAGCCACTCCTCAGGGAGCCTTTGGCAGAGACAGTCACAGGGAAGGGCACAAACAGCACTGACACTGCAGTGCTGGGTGTGCTTTCAGCTTAGTACAGGGCAAGAGGACCAGAGCTCACATCAGACCACAGCCAGGTCTTTGTGCCAGAGCTCTCTGCTAAATGGCTACCAGGCTGGTCCTTTTCTGTGGCACTGCAGAGGGGAATATTGTTCTTCATCACCAGCTATGATCTCCTCCAGAAGCAGGAGAAGGCATCTGGTCTCCCATGTCCATGTGCAGTCCCAAGCATCCACACTCCCACAGTCATCTCTCAGGTTGAGCAGGATGATCAGTGACAAAACAGGAGAACTAAAACTTCCATATGTTTGATTCTGGATGGCTTCACTCAGATTTATGTGCTGCAAAAATTGACAGGTTGCTATTAGATCTTCCCTGTCCTTACATAAAGCTTGGAGTCATGGACAGGATGCTTTTCTTGGCAGCAGCTGGTGTCTGATCTGTGCAGTGCCACAGACAGCAGCTTTAATAAACCTCCAGAAATTTTACAGTCTTTGACCCTGCTGAGATTGCAAGTGGTTGGCAAAGTAGTATGTGTTAGTTTTATTCCCAGGCATCTGTAGGCAAGGGACACGGAACATTTGGGGACACTGAAAGGACATGATGGAGTCTGTGTGGCTATTGAAAGAGACATTGCAGCTCTGCAGCTGTGTGTGAACACATAAAATTCATTATCATTCTCATATCATCCTTAACTTTACCTTCTTTTCCTTTGTCCAGTTTTGATTATTTACATGTGGTTGTAACTTGTGCACCAAGCTATCATAAAAACAGCAAGTACTATTTCTACATGAATGCTTGAAAGTACCTACAGATTCCCAGATCCTATTTATTGCTGCAGGGCTTGAGAGCCCTCAGGGTAAGAGAGGCCAGAACAGCAGCAGCCCCTTTCAGTGCCAGATTTAAGAATAGGAGGAGTTATGAACTGAAATAGCAGTTGGTGTTTGTGGTTTGGTGGGGCAGGTGGGTAATTAGCTCTTTGCATGTGTACATACAAAATGTGCATGTGCTCCTAATCAACGTCTTAGGGCAGGGGTGGGATGCTATTTCAGGTTGTTTGTTTCATCTTACCTCATAATCCCTGTAAGCCTCATGGTGAGGACAGAGTGGGGCTGGGAACAGCTGCAGAGCAGGGGATTGAAGCACACTCAGAAGGCCTAAGTTCATTATCTCTCAGAGCCCAACCATCATCAGTGCTCTGTAGATCTCTGCATGATCTCCTTGCATTTCCCTTTCTGTTTTTTCCCTTGCCCCCAAAAAGGCACTTTTCCCATTAAAAGCCAGTTTGCAGTGGCAGTTCTTTGATTAAAGCTACAGCTGCCACCTACTCACCGTGGGGTGACTGATCCCTTCAGATCCCTCCATCCTTCAAGCTTGCCCTGTTCCTACATGCTGTTTGCTTCCTTTCTTCCCATCATTCACAGCTGACTGAGGAGAGCCTTCTTGTCCCCTGTGGTCCCTATCATTCTTCCCTTGTTTCTGTCACCCTGCTCCACCCCTAGGCAAGCTGGGGGCTGCCAGAACAGCAGTGTAAGCACAGCCTGCCTTCTGCGCCCCTGCAGCAATGCCAGCATGCACAGAGCAAAGCCCCCTGCAGAGCTGAGCACTGCACAGAGATGCTCTGAGCAGGTGTTACAGCCTTCAATTTTGTTTAGATTTTTCTGACAGAAACTGCAGATACATCAGAAAATTGCACCCAGATGGTTTCTCCTTGGAGTTGGTTGCCATGGGTGCTGCAGGGACATATTGTTGGTGTTCATGGGGTGATGGTCCAGGCCCCGTGCTGACCCCTTGCTGCCACATCCCATCTCTCCAGGACAGGCACTGGCAGCTGCAGGGTGTGTTTTGGCTGCTGCTGATGCTGCCATGTCTCTGCTTTGGCTGCTGGCTGCTGCACCAGGCTGCAGGGAGGGAGCAGGAGTCCCGAAAGGAGCAGCAGCAGGTGGTGAATGGGGAAGGGGCTTTGGGGTAGGCATGGTGTGTGTCCATGGCCTCCAGGAGCCTGTGCTTGGGCTGAGCTTGGTGTGAAAACAGCCCTCTGTAGCTTTAACTGCCCATCTCCTCTTCTGCTGGGCAAGTGAGACAGGTGGAGAGCAGACCTGTGACCCCAGGCAAGGTGGTGTTTGCTGTGACATTAGGAACAGGGGTATGCTGTCCTGGGAGCATGGCCATGCATGTCCCTCTCAGCATCTTCTTAACAGTTGTCAGCTGTGCTGGCAAAGGGCAGTGGCAGGACTGAGCATGAATCCAAAATATGCTTGGCTTCTTGTTTAACTGACAGGGAAGGGATCTGACTGCTGGGTGTTGCACAGCAGAGGGGGAGAGTGTGTCTTCAGTGAGAAACCAAAACCAGTTCCAGAGCCCAGGGCAGAAACTGTGATTAAATTTGAGTCAAAAATGAAATTAAAATGGAGCAATGACATCATGAGACAGCCATTCAGCCCAAGTGGCAGAGCAGAGAGCAAGACTTTTAAGCTGGAATAGGAAAAACAGAGTGAAAAGGCCTGGCATGGCTCGTGGGAGGAAGCCACAGCAGGAAGCAGCAATAGCGCCCCAGGACTCCCCTGTCCCAGCCTGCTGCATCATCCCCTGGGCACTCAGAGTATCCAGCTCTTCTAACTGTGGCATTTGCCATATCCTCAAGTAAAGACTCTTCTATTCACATATTTTTATGACAGGGAGAGGATATTTACTTGGTATCCTCTGGTAAGATTTTATCTGTCTTCTTCATTTATTTCCTTTTCAGCAAGTGGAGGCAGCACACTGAGAACAGATTTTTAATTGGCATTAACACTGTGGTGAGAAGTGTTCCTGGGGGTGTTAATGATACGGAGGGTACTGTGCAGTGAAATTACAATTTGGAAAAAATAAGGAATTATAATGAGTTAGAAAATAAATTTTGATCCACAATCTAATTTAAAAGGCATGCAAGTATTTTGTGTTACGAAAAATGAAGTATCAGCTTTAGCTAAAAAGCAAAGACTCCAGTGTAAAGATCGATGAAGTCTGTCATTACTTGCTCAGAAAGCTCAGTAATCTCAGTCTGTACCAATATCAATGTTTCTACTCATTTAGCAGCAAGAAAGTTCCTGTCTTCCTTATAAGAAAATTCTAAGAAAAGTAGAAAAGGAAACTCTGAGATTTAAAGAACCTGCCTAGGTTTAAATGGGTTCACATAAACTTTCAGTCTGTTGTTCTCCAGCCCTGTGCCCCCAGAGGAGGGGTTTGCATTTGAGTGCTGCTGGTATTGGCATTTCAGGGCAGCCACAGCAGAGACCTGGTGCCTGGTGTGCCTGGTGGTTGCTCTCAGCTCCAAGAGAGCCCAGATGTGGTGTCCATCCTGCCTCTCCATGGCACACAGAGCACTGCTCAGCAGCTGCTGTGGACATCCACAGGCAGGACAGCCAGCACTGTGTCAAGTGCAAGGGACAGGAAAAGGTAGCAAGAAGGGCAGAAAACAACTGAGAAATAGAGACAACTAAGGACCAAAAAAAAAAAAAAAGGCTGCAGAAAAGCACTCTATAAGGATATCAGTGAGATGATGGCAATTGACACCTTAAATCTTCAATTGGACCCAGCTGTGATATTAAGACAAAGCTTTTAAGAAACAAGAAAAAATAAGTCAGTGCTGGTGCTGCAGAACCCTCCAGTTTTCAAATTTCTCTGTCTTATATAGATAGTTGTATCAGGAAGCAGGTGTCCTTTCAGGATACTATTTTATATCAGTCCCAGATAGTTCCTCTCCTTTCATTTGTGTTTAGAGAGTTGTTACAGTCAGAAGTGTCTCATCATACCACTCATTGTCTTTCCCTAATAATTTTCAGTGATCACAGTTACAGATGTTTTGTTATTTTCCATTCTGTTTTGTAGGAAAAGTACAAGAAAAATGTGGAAAAGTGTTTTGTAGTTTTGTGAATTGTTTTGCAAGTCTTGGTTATTTGTTGTCTGGCTGACCCAGCTCATAACAGAATCTTTTGTCAGTGCTCTTGTGGGTGCATTGGTTTTTGCAATGTAACATTTTTCTATACAAAGGTGCCCAAATGTTGCTCTGATAATTATCACATGAGAATTTACTCCTAAGTGAGCACAGATTCCATGTGGGTTAGTATAATCTCTTGCTATGACGAGAAGACAGCCATGCTTTGCAAATATCACCACTGATGGCTGGGTGTCCCATGGCCACTAAGGCCCCTGAGCAGCTTCACAGTTCCAATGCCAAGAAAGAAGCAAATGAGGTCCAAAAGGTTGCCTTGCAAAACTGAGGAAACCTTTGAGAAGCTGACCTCTCAGTGGTGTGGGCAGACTCTAGAGCTAAGCACAAATTTACAGATCTGGTCAGTGATCTATGAAGAGAGGAGAGGAGAAAAAATTATTATTTTTGAGTACAGAATTAAACATCTGTCAAACTCAGGACCAGAGTAGTTCAAAACTGAGCCTTAGTGTTCTTCTTTAACTTTATGCTGACTTTCTTAGCAAGGTTCCTTGCATCCTGTATTTGGGTTGCATGCATGAGCAAAACTCACTAGTAACCAGTGAGTCACTTGCTGCAGTATTTCCAGTGCAGTGCATCTTTGTTAGATGTAAAGCAGTTTCTGTGCTTAACCTCTCCAACCTGAATATCTCAGGTAACTTAGCCAAGGCACAGCAGAGAGGAAGGAAACAACAACAGTGGTTTATATTTCAGGCTCAGTTAACTGGTGTTTGTAAACTGCTTGAAGTTATTTAGATGAAGGTGTTAAAGCATAGTAGAATGACAGATATGTACGTTTAAAAAATAATACTAATAAACACTCTCACCATGCTTTGAAAATATGGGTGTTATGACTCCCCCAGGAATTATCATTATAATACACAAGTCAGTTTGGTGGAAAAACTGGCACCAACTTCTCAATGTATAAAAATAGAAATAATAATCTTTCTCCAGCTTCTGAAGGAAATACATTGATGAGTTTGAAAAATGTAATAATTTATATGAGCATGAGTGTGTGTGTCAAGTAAAGAATTTAATGAGAAAGAGTTAATGAGTGGGAGTGAAACAGGAAAGAAGACTTTTGCATCAATTAATCCTGAAAGTGGGAAAGTATGAAATGTCCTAGCACCTCCCAAGTTCCAGAGCTCAGATCTAATCCTGAGGGAGCTCTCCCTGAGGGAGATTGCCAGATTCTCTGCATGCTAGTTTGCAGTTCTGTTGTGCCTACAAAGAAGAGGTCTGTGAGGGCATTTTGGTGCTGCTGAGGTTGTCACCCACTTGCACAACAGCACCACTTCTGGCTCACCTGGGCTGAGAGCTGCAAAGAGCTTGTCACCTGTGTAAACCCTTGGGTATGAACAGTATTGACCGGGAAAGGGCCTAAAGTGACAGAACCAGCGCTGATGAACTCAATTTAACCAGCTGGCTAAAACGTTGCCCCCAGGACTATTGAACTGTCTGCTTTTCCATATTTCCCAGTAAGTGGGCTTGATTGACAAAACCTTTTCCTTCTGTGGGGTAGCCAGGTTCCTAAGGAACAGACCAGAGAAACACTCACTTATTGAAATAGCCACAGGGAAATGCTGTTGAATCTCAATTTTTCAGGTACCCACGTGTACACTCTGAATGGAACTGACCCAGAAGGAGATCCTGTGACATATGGCCTGACCTATGAAGCTGGATCAAGGCGTTACTTTGCTGTTGACAAGAATCTTGGAAATGTTACTTTGATTGAAGAGCTTGACAGAGAGGTACAATCAAATGGCACCACTCCAGGTGTCTGTGGGATTTCTTTCAGTTTAATTTGATCTGAGGCTTTGAGGGACAAAGCCAGTTTATTAGCCCCTGAAGCATGTTCTTTGCAATTCTAAGACATTATATGCAACCCATCGTGTTGCATTCCAGTTGACTTGTGCCACTGACATGGCTATCAAATTTTTCAGCTGCTGTCTGTCTAGCATTTTTCAAAAGAGAAGTATATTATTTATTTCATATCTTCCCCCACCCACACCCCATCAGGAGCTATGGGGCAGCTACAGTCATCAAATCCTCAGACAGGGGAGTCTCCTGTCATTGGGAAGAAGTAGAGATTTGTGTAAGCAGTGTTTCAGGACACTCCTCTAGTACATCATAGCCCTTTAGTCAATGTAACTATGTTGGTTAAAGATGCCTAAATCCAGCCTTATTCTGGGAATAAGGCATTGAACACTTCATATCTCCTCATTGAGAAGCTTACACAATATTTGGTAAACCCTTTAAAAATCTGTACACTAATACAGAACAATTTTAACCAAAGTGCCATTTTAGGGAACATTTCTTGAGAAAGGTGACTGATTTTTATGAGCACTTTAGGAAGCAACAGGGATTACCAGAGCACCCATCTCCTGACAGTAGCCAGAGGAGGTTCAGGGAGCTGGAGTTTCTGAGGAGCCTTCCTGGCCTCTGCTGGGATTGCTCTGTGATATTAGTTGTTACTTTCATCTGCCTGCCTAGACAGGTTTAAATCTGCAGTCCCTTTTCCAATCAGGACAAACACCATCTCTCTTACAAAAGAATTTTCTTCATTTACAGAAGGAAGATGAGATTGAAGTTATTGTCAGTATTTCAGATGGCCTGAGTACAGTAAGTATTTAATTATGCTGTAGCTTGTTAAACTGTCTGTCCTCACATACCTACTCCTATTAAATTACCTTAAAGGGACCATCTCATTTGATCAGAAAACATAATCTCATTAGAGCCTTACCTCCTGTTCCAAGAGCCTCTGAACTCGCAGTTATTCAAGTCTCACTTCATCTCCTTGCTCAGCTATTTGAGGATAATTACAATGAAGTGTGAGCTGAAATACTGACTTAGCAGCCTGCAGAATTACAGCAGCTTCCCATGAAGTTTCACTGCCAGCACAGTGGGATTTGTGCCTAAGATGTGGAGGCTTTTTGGAGAAATGTGTGACATTATAGGAACTAGTGTTGGGTGCCTAAGAGCTGCCTGTCCCCACCCCCACAGTGTTTCTCTAGCATGATGTTAAGAAGATTTGCTTAGGCTGAGGTGGTGGGGTCTGCTGCTAGATAAAGCTTTGTGCATGTCTAATCATTAAGGACTTATCTGAGGCACTGAACCTCCAGTCCTACTTCCAAAGATTTTCTTGGCATTTTCAATTTATGGACTGATGTTGTCAGGGCCAGGATGGCAGTCTGCCAGTAGGAGGATGTGGGCTTCATCAAAGTGGGACCCTCTTCTTATCTACAAGACTGGATAAATCTAGAGCTTTTCCTCATCCCAAAGAAATTAATTGAGATTATTACAAGAAATGTTTGGGATGTTCCAGCGTCCTACAGGCACAACTGCCCTGGAAATCTCTGTAAAAGGGAAATAATGGGATTCATAAATCATGGGAGTCATAATATGCTCTTCATATTCTACTCCAGGTTTCTGAAAAAGTCAGGATCCTTGTAATGGATGCCAATGACGAGAGCCCAGAGTTCATCAATACACCTTACATAGTCCAAGTCCCAGAGGTTGGTGAAGTTCCTTTGCATACTGGAAATATACTTCTAGAGGATGTAAACAGGGGCTAATATGTTTTCAGTAAAATAACAAATTGTGCAGGACAGACTTGCATTCTTTTGGTTTAGGGTTTGTGTAGATATTTAATATTCACTGCAAACTTGGGGAATAAGTCTGTAGGTACTTAAGGTGTGCTATTTTTGGGGTAAGTTCCTAGATGTGAGTCAATGTGAGTTTTTTAGAATTGAATATAGTGGGAATAGGATACACCCAGTCTTAGCTAAAATGTTCTGCTATTTTTATTTCACGAGGTGTTTCTTCTTGTTTTCCAGTTTTAATCTCTTCCCTCTTTCCCTTCTGCTCTTTGGTTCCTTCAGTGCTTTTACATTCTTTCTACCATCACTCTCTTTCTGCCTCCCTGCATGCTCATGTTTCATTTCTTTTACCTCACCTGGTTTTCTGTTTCTGTGTGACTCTGCTAACTCTTTCTGGTCACAGAACACTCCCTCCAGCAGCAGCATCTTTAAGATTGAGGCAATAGACAAAGACACAGGTTCTGGAGGAAGCATCACCTACTTCTTGCAGGTAAAGTATTGTCTGTACCTTCACAAATTTGTCTCTCATTTACTGAGATTTCAGAAAGCAGATTTTAAAAAGATTTTGGGGGTTGAGTGCACTGCTAGTGCCTCTAGGATCAATGTTGTACCACGCACAAGGAAATAAGCATTGGCAGAAGGGATGTTGTCTGATTGCAAGCAGCCAAGGCTGATCCAGCAGGCAGCAAGGGGAGCTGGAGCTGCCACTGACACTCCTGTGCTTGCCAGCCCTCATGGCAGGGCCCTTACTGGCCCTTCCTTTGGAGTGACAGGGAGAGCAAGATTAGCTGGTAATCGCGTATGCTTATGGGATTTCTAAAGCATGAAATAGCTTTCTTTAGGAAGCAAAACACACTGGAAACATAAATGTGCCCTTTAGTGTAGCAGGCTGCTGCATAATTGATACCAAGATCACAGTGTGAAATGAGAGGTGCTAAATCTTCTCCCTGACAAAGCAGTGACTGCCTGAAACCACCCTTTCAGTTGCTGCCCACTGGTGAAGAACTGAAAGGGCTCCAGATTTAGAGCTGAACTTCTGTATTACAGATCTTCTCTATTCCACAAGGGCAATTTTTTTGCATTATGTCTTTCAAATTCCTTCTTCCTATAGGCAGTTTCATCCAGGTTATCTGCAGTTCCCTTTATTCAAGAGGAAACATGAAAAAAGCAAACAAAAAACAAAGCAAATGTGTTGCAATATTTAATTTTGGATAAGAATATGAAGACAAGTTAGAGGACATTTACATAGCACTAAAGCTAATCCTGTTAAGAGCTTGGGCATACTATGAAAGAACACCTTGAGTACCTTGTTGAAATTTAGCTTTGATTTCACAAATTATGATCCATGTACAGGATTCAATTTTGCACAGGGCTATTTCCAGAGAGCTGATAGTCTATGAACCAAGGGACAGCAATTCCAAAATTCTATATCTAGTTTATAATATATTTGTGTGGCAAAAAGGATAATATATATGTGTATTTGTTGAAAAAATCTTGCCGTGTCTTTGGGCACAGTCTCTGAGAATTGTCAAGTTGCACAGAAAAAACCTCTCCATAGGTATGATAAAGGCAGGTGGTGATGCCTGCTGAAATGGCCAAGATTATCTGACAGTGGCCATTGTGTCTGGATACAGGAACAGAGGTGCTTGTACAGCTATCCCCAGTTCAGAAGAATGGAGGGAGGCATTTTTCAGGTCTCTCTTAAAATCAGATGCTCTTTAGATTTTGTTTGTTCATCACAAAAATCACCAGACCACTGTGTTTGACAACAATCTACACACGCAAACTTCCTGCTTTTTTTTGAAACCAGTAGAACTTTGAAACACTAAGGGGTGACACCATTTCTTTTTTTGTTCCTTTTCCCTTCATCTTTTTTCTGTTAAGTCTCCCCACCCCTTTCCATGCGATTAACTGAGTTAACCAAAAGTGTAAGTTTTCACAATGAAATACTAAAAGATTTAAAAAATCTACATTACAAGGAACTCATTTATCCTGAATAATGAGAGACTTGTGGTTGGTTCATGAATTGTTCATAAACACACAGAGGTGAAATTCATCAAATGCATTATTCACCCAAACCATATCATTATTCTAGTCTCCTCCCTTAGCAGATGAAATAAAAGATGAATCCCTGTGGCAATCCTACCTCCACATGTGTAATCCCTGGCTGTTTCTCCTTTTCTTTCCCTCCAGAACATCCATGCTAACAAGTTCACGATAGACCGTCACAGCGGCGTCCTGCGCATCAAACCTGGGGTCACCCTGGACTACGAGAAATCAAGAACACACTTTGTGGTGGTTGTAGCCAAGGTAAAGGCTTTTATGGGAGACTAGAGGAGGTGGGGTTGTGTTTGAGTGGGACCAATTAGTTTGAATGCAAGTGCTGCTGAAACATGGAGGCGGCAGAGTTACTCCTGCTGTCACATCTGGAGCCATGGGGGGTAACGTGGAAAGGTGAGGGATGAAAGGTAGCTGATGGCTGCTGCTGAACAACATCTGGAGGATTTGGGAGGGGGTTTCCCACATTTCATTCATGTCCCCTGTGTCATGGGACTCACCTAGAAGTGAAGGGTTAGAGTATCCAGCCCTGGCTTCAAGAAGCATCAGCCTGTGAGCTCAGGGCTCCTCGTGCTGCCCAGGGCACAGCCCTACCACCATAAGGACAGACCCTGGCAGGCAGATGGGCCACAGCCACTACCCACAGCTAGACCCAGCACAGCACAAGTGATGGATTTCTTTTCTGGAAATATCTGTGAATGTTTCTTTTTTTCACTTCCCTGCTGCCCCGTGGCAGGAGCTTATTTAAATCCTGCAAATATTGCTGCACATCCCCTCTTGCCACTGTCTTTCCCAGCAGTACTATGCCTGTGACTGCACATGCTAACAGGCATTAAAAGTTTATAGATTCTGAAGTCTCTCACAATCCTGTGGGGACCTGTCACACAGACAGACTCACATGGGTGGAAAGAAGGCAGTTTTGCTGTAACTTACGGGGACTTGGAGTTGCTCATATTTTTTTTTAAATATATGGGCCTTTTAATGTATTTTTAGCCAAGGTGCATTTGAGGAAGAAAAACAAAATTTGGCTTAAATTCTACCTTTGGGGCAGTAAGGAAGAAAAAAAATCAGTGTATCTTTAAAAAAAAAAATTGGAATTTTTAGAATTGGTACTGCAGATATGTTGAACAATTCACACTCTTACACACCAGCATGACTGCTGACCTACAGCTGGTGCTCTGAGACTGAGGGTGTTAAAAGCCTCTGAAATAGCAAGTTGTCTTCCTAATTGGCTCTGCTGTATCAGTGGTGCAGCGCTGGCTGTACCAAGTCCCCAGAGACTGCTTACACAGTGTGGCTGTCTCACAGGTTTGGGCTGCACAGCTCCTCTGTGCTTGCACTTTATCACTTTGGAGTTCCTGGGAGACTTTGAGCATGTACACTGTTTATTTCCCTCCAGAGATGCACTACCTTGCTACTGTGTACTGTTTTGTGTTCATGACAAGGGATGAAAAGTTGTAGACCTTGGTCACTAACTTTTTGCATCAGTTTCTAGTGTTCTTTTTTCATGAAAAGCCCTTGAATTCCCTATCCCTTCTCTAAAGATCATTTATGACTGCATACTTTGCCTCAATCACTTTTAATATAAGAAATTACTTATGAGGCACTGCAAGCTGTCTTCCTAATCAGAGGGGAGAGCAGGACAAATGGAAAAGAGAAGGGAATAGGGCAGCACAGATTAAATCTATATGTTCAGAGAGGGAAAGGATTCCTGGAACTGTGCTTCTGAAGGCTCATGAGGTCCATGCTGATTTGCAGGCATGCTTCAGCAGAGGCATCTGACAATGACTTCTTTTCTAGGATGGTGGTGGGAAGCTCAGGGGAGACAACAAAGTCTTTTCAGCCACAACCACAGTTACTATCAACGTGGAGGATGTTCAGGACACCCCCCCTATGTTCATTGGGACTCCCTACTATGGATATGTCTATGAGGACACGCTTGCAGTAAGTTCTGGTTTCATACATGGGAGAACAAGTACAGCCTTTCCCATCTTACTCAAGATGGCCCTAAGGTTTCTAGCATAGATTTTACTGGAAATAGCACCTAAACTCTGATTTGACTCCTAGGTGAACTGAGCTGACCAAATCTCACACTTGTTCTTCCTCATGTCTACTGCCAATTTGCCATGCAAGGCTTCCTGGTTTTTTCATTGAAGTCAAAAAGGATTCTGCCCATTTACATTGGTCTAAACCCAGACAGGGACTAAGGGCTCTTGTGTAGCTCAGACCTCCAGAGGCACTTGGCTGAAGGCTTAAGCAGGCTGCCAGTGACCTCACCTGAACACATCATGCTTAAAAGCCTTTGTGTGTCTGTTTGCTCTGTGGGCTCACAGTGCTTTTATTTTCTAGCTCAGATCAGTCTGCTACCAACAGTTGGTTGTACAAGGTGCAGACAGAATTTATGCCCACATACTCCAGACTCCCTGTTGAGCCATGGATATCCCCTGGGGAGAAGCAACCTTGACATTCCCAAAATGCAGGATGCTTTCTGCTCAATGGTGGCTGGTTAGGCAGGATGGGCCAGGAAGGCCTCCTAGGTCTAAACCAGATTATCAGTCATTTTCAGCCACATCTTCTTGAAGCTGCAAACTAATGAATTTTCTCTATATCTAAGCAGTGACATGATTGTGTATGGATCAGTTTTCACCCTGATCCATAAGTTTTAATTAAAATTTTCTTCATATATAGAGCAAGAAATGGTATCTACCCATGAAATTACCCAACATTAGGCTATTGATCAGTTTAGCAGTGTGATTGCACTCTGTTCATCTGACCTTCCCTTGAGTTTCAGGAAAGATTGTGTCTTATCTTTCTGTCCAGAAATGTGCACTGCAGCCCATGCATGACTATATACTGCAATTCACTGCAGAGGCTGTTACATTTCAGCAGGGCACAGAAGTAATGCTCATGTACTTTGCAGGTGTTTAAAATGAATGATGTTATGTATATTGATTTATTCTGCATAGTTACATATAGATCTTGAAATAACTATCAGGTGCACACAGGAGTTAGTGTTTACTATGGAAATGAGAATCAATAAATGTTAATTACATCCAGCTTGAGCTCATAACTTACACCATTATGATATAATGATGAAGCATGGATCAGTCCTTCCCTGTGTGGGTTTTTGCCATTAGAATCAGCTCCACAGAGAAAGAGGCAATAGCTGATTGTAGTGGTGTTTGTGCATTTGGTGTTAATTTTGTAAACTTGCTTCTTTTCTCCTTGGTGGAGTTGTCAGGATTTACAAGTACTCTGTCACCTTCAAAGGGACTGCACTGCATTTTGCCCAGTAGGCAGATTTTATTGCTGCTTCCAGCATAAACGATAATAAACACAGTTCTGTGTTTCCAGTTGCTTTAACAGAGCTTGCTCTTGTTTGAAAAATTCACTCAGGGGTTGTCATGAAAATGTTCCTTGTTGCCATTTGTGATTCACTGACAGTTACTTCAATGTTCCCTGGTTCTGCAGCCTCAAACAGGAGCACTTTAGTGCAGAGGCCTGAATTGTACAGCTCATTGCCACTTGGGTGAGCATTTTAATGTGACACTCATCATCCCTCTGAGCTGATAGGAGCAGTCACATGAGCAAATGGTCCTCAGTACACAAATTCTGTACGTATGGCCCACGGCCATGTTACTTGGGCAGAAAGACAGACAGGGAAGGTTTAAGGGCAGTTAAATCACCATCATTTTCATCACAATTTTATGCCCTAGATCTTCTGTGGGCCAAGTTGCTCTGTGATCTCTCTTTGCTTCTACTGCCTGTCTGAACTTAATTAGGAAGGACCAAAGTGACCCAATGACTCCTTGGCAGCTGCCTGTGTCTCAGCACACTGTGTGGCCATGGGACACAGAAGCCTACACAGAAACAGCCAGAGGGAATCTTGGTAGTGCCCCAAACTACACTTTGGGTTCCAGATTGGTTGCTCCAAATCCTCTCTCCACATCTGTGGCTCCAGGCAGGTGTCCCTGGCCACAGCTTCCAACCATTCCCGTGACCAGCCAGCCCCCAGGGCTGAGGCACCCGTGGCCAGGCAGGGTCTGCAGCCATTTCACACTCAGAGCAGTGGGCACTGGCCCTTTTTGTGCTCCCCATGTGGCACAAGACAAGTGCCCACTCTGCCCCCAGCACTTCACTGCAGAAACACTTAGAGCAGTTCAGTTTATTAATGTGCAGTTGCAATTTCACTGCTCTGATCTCAGCACACAGACTGTGATTTCCCATTTCTCCCCAGGGCTCTGAGGTCCTCACTGTTGTTGCTCTTGATGGAGACAGAGGAAAGCCTAACAGTATTCATTACTGCATCGTGAATGGTGAGTAGGCTTGTCTTAGATGAAATTTGAAGGGCACTCAAAACTCCATCTGGTATTAAATTAGAACAGAATATGCTAGAGTTTAATAAACTTGAGACAAAATCTCAGGAAATAATGTCCAATACCTCAAACAACTTCAGGGCCCTGTCTAGCAGAGAACAGCCAAGATTCAATTCAGTGAATTTTAGTATCTTCTTCACAGAACTGTGCTTGGAACTGTTAATGTTGCTGATTTGTTAGGCATCAGTAGGCTGCTTGTCATTCCAGAAAGTGTAAAGGGAGATGCATTCACTCTTCTGAGCATCTCTATCACTCAATCTGGGAGGTGAGATAATTCATTGGAAGACCCAGACATGGCATTTGGAGGGATATTTTTATTAACACAGTGATAAAAGTGGCTAAACAGTCAAACCTCCAATTTCTTGAAGAAATTATATTTACCAATGAAGAGACATTGGCTGTACACTGAAGTGGAAGAAAACAGATGTTATCAGAAGATTAATGCTTTCCATGAGCTATTCTGAGAGTGTCTGCCACACATCTTTTAATAGCATGAATGTGAAACTTAATGAATTGGTGATTCATTAGGTGGTGAAGACAACAGCTTAGAGCAACTAAACTCCAGGCTACAGCTTTGGGGATTTTGAGTTTTATACACTCTCCCTTCCAAAACAAGGCTTCTGTAGCAACTGGGCACTCCAACTCACAGGTGTGAAAGATCCCAAAACTTCCTAAGAGAAATCTGAGGTGTAGTTGAAGAGCTATGGAGGAGGTGCTTCATTGTGTTGTGATCTAAGCAGCCAGAACAGAGAGATACAGCTGAGTTTTTGTGTTGGTGTGGTATGAGACCCATGCTGAGGTTCCTTCTTAATGTGAGGAAATAAACATGTAAAAGAAGGGTAGAAACATCAAGGAAAAAAGAGTTGCAGAAGACAATGGATAGAAAATGGGAAAAGGTAAAAATAAAGGTGCAAAATGAGGAGCAAGAACAAGTGGGATGAAAATATGCCAGACAAGGGAGAAATTAAATAAGGAGAACAAGTGAAGGCAGAAGAACCAGGGAAAATGTCAAAGGGAAGTAAGATTAATGAGAAAATATACTGGATTGCCAAAGAAAACAGAGAAGGACCAAAAGGGTTCTCTGGGATAAAAATAAATTATAAGTGTTTAGGAAACAGTGGGAAAGGAAGATGGAAGGGGATAACAGATAAGAAGAACAAAATATTACTTAATGGGGAGCAGGCTTTTCTCATGCCCATTAACAAAGGGCTTTGTTTTTGTGAAATAGAAAAGAGGGGAAGGGAATATGCTTTTAGTGCATAGAAAGTTGAAAAACAGAGAACAGAAGATTGCAACAGGTTTCTACTCCTGCACCTCAGACACTGGCATTATTTTTGACAAGCCTTTATTCCAATAACTGCAGGCTGGGATATTAAAGGACAAGAAAACACTAACAGCAAACAGGAAATTGTTTGCTCTTAATAAGCCTGTCTTATCCCAGGAGTGTGGAATAATGATAGGAAATGCTCCAATCTTCTGAACATCTGGAGGAACACCAATACTGCTACATGTACTCCAGGTTACCAGTCTCCCTGGGATAACTAGACAATAACATGAAGTATGGTGGTTTGAAACCACTATTGACTTAAGCTTCTTCTCAATCAGAATGTATTTTGCAGGCCAATGTGTCTTAATAATTGGGTATTGTGAGTCAATATGTGTTCAATGTTGTGTCTAGAGTGCTTTAATGAAGTTGCAGTTATTGTAGCTATTAGCAGAAGAGGATACTATGGGATGGTTTAAAAATCAGCATTGGAAATGAGTTTAAGAAAAATACTACTGGGCTTTGGGGTCATCATCCTTTATTTCTGAAGGCTTGATCTCCTACATTTAAAGAGATTTCCTCTCTTTTCCTTTCAATGGTAGACTGCCACAAAGCACAGGATGTGGCCAATAGTGTACATGAGGCAGCATCAGGGCTGCCCTTGCTGGGCACCAGCCTGCCCTTGGCTGTGATGTGAGATGGTTCCTGACATCCTGGTGAGACACTGCTGCCCCTCTGCAAGTTGGCATTTGCTTCAACACAAATCCAGCAATCTGGAACTCCTGTTGTCTCCAGATCAATGGAAGTTGTGTAGCAGTAGCAAAGTCAGCCTGCAGCCCTGTCCTGCCTCTGTCAGACTCTGCCTCAGTTCAGAAACCTTGGGGTTTATCCCAGATACTTCAAAAAACCATTTTTATTCAGGGCAGCCTTGCAACAGGCTGAAAGGTTGTTTTGACAACTCAGTGTTTAAGACCAGAAGACACTTCTCCAGAGATGCTGTCTGAGGGAAGTGACTGTACTTCTTTTTGACAGATTGTCAGACTTCTCACCTTAGCTGATATTAGTGAGAGAAATGTTCTTGTTTCTCAGAGACTTAATTAAGCATTTGCTAATTACAATGACAAATGTCTATTTTTGTCTAAACCAGCATATAAAGAAGGCAGCATAATAAAATTAATACCAAATTTGCATGCCTGGATGCTGAGGCTTGAGGGGAGCCCAAGCAGGATGGAAGAGGAAAATGCTGACAATTGCCCATAGGGAAGAGCTCCACTGAGCTGTTCCTAGGGCAGGAAGCCCTTTTAGACCCTCACCTGTGATTTCATCTCAGACCAGTCAGAGAAATGCTTCATTTTTGAAGAGTGGCTTCAGATCTACTGATACATATGGATAGACATATGGACAAAGATGTGCTAAGTGAAGTGTACAGTCGATTTGCCCATGTTGTTCAAAGAAAGTGTGGCATGTAACCAGAGCATCTTGGTTTCATTGCAGGAAGTGAAGGTTCATTTGAAATCAGTAACACAACTGGAGCCATTTCTGTGATAAAAAGCCCAAATCAGCTCAAGAAAGAAGTGTATGAACTAAAAGTTAAGGTAGGTACTGTGGCCACTTTAAGACTATTGGTCTAAAATGCCATGAGTAGGCATGATTGTCCAAAATTGTTCAATTTATAGCTGACTTCACCTGTTTCAGAAATTACCCCAGAGTGTCAGATAGTAGAAAGCAGCACTAATTGCTAATGTAGGGATATTATTGTTGGGATATTTAGTATCTCAAATTATTTTTTTCAAATGAAATCATCTTGTCCAAATTTCCTCTCTGAGGCTAGAAAATCAATGTCCTTTACAGTTCATAGATACCTGTTCTCTATGTTTCCAGATTTTATTGCTAAACTGGGAATTAATGTCTTGAAACTTCCATGTTATGAGATAGGTAACAGTGAAATCCATGATTAGTAATAGGAGTGGGACAGATCATGCAGTGTCATGTCAGCATCCACTCCTGAGCACTCTTCAGCCACACACAAACACATGCTCACACCTTGATGAGCTAACACCTCAATGAGCCACTACTCATGTCACAGGCTGTGTTATTTTAAGCAGTTTCTAAAGAAAAAGTGTTTAAAAGTGCAGAATTAAATTGTGAAGACTGTATCAGTTTTCCCCAGCATGTTGGAACTGCACATTATTGTTGTGATAAAGACAATACTGGCTTAAAGGGAGCTTTGAGGAATTGCACACTGCCAGAACCAAGGGCACTTGCTTGCTCCTGGGCTCGAGCAGGGCAGGTACAGCTACATCTACCTGGAGAACATGGATTCTCATGGGCTCAGTTAAACTCAGGCACCATTTCTTCCTCTATCAACTCTGCTTCACTGCATCCTGCTACCATTCCCCAGATGCAGAAAGGGTTAAAGCCTTGCAAGCTTTTCTGATCTCCTCATTGTGTGTGTGGTGACCCAGAGCTGATGCAGGCTGCAAAAGCTGCTAGAGGAACCAAAAAGGTGTTATATTACCCAGCATATACAGTGACAGGCACCTCAGTTGCCAGACTAGTGTCTTTGGAGAAAGTGCCTTTGGTTTTGAGCCCTTTGAGTAAAGAGGCATGTTAGATATAGCTGTTGGGACAAAAATATCAGCCAGTTTCTGTCCTGGCAGAAGAAATGTCTCAGGTTCAATCTAGTGAATCAGGCCACATGTTGCAGTTGTTGAAACCCAGACAGATTTGATCTCATGGTTCAGAAAAATACCTAGGTTTGCCTGTCTGCCTAAACTCTATCCATCTTAAATTAAGCTCATCTAAACACCACAGCAGAATTTTGAATTGGAGACTAAATCTCAAAAAAACCCATGCACTTTTTCAAATATTTACCTAAATGCCACAAGTATAGTTTTTCTCACAGTATTAGAGGCTGCAGTCCTTGCAGCAATGAGACAATGAACTGCCTGTGGCACCACAGCAAATTTAAACATTGTCTTCCTTTTCTATTCTATCAACACTTTAGGCAAGCAATTACCTTGCCTCTATTGGATTGCTTTTAGAGAACTGTTTTCACCCAGAGTGAGTTACTAAGATGACAAAATTAGAGGGAGAATCAACTGGGGCTCTACTGGGACTGGTTTATTACCATAATCTTCTAATCATCATAAACTTCAGTGTGAAATGGACTGAGGTTTTAGAGAAATATAAGCCTATGACTCTTCTTACAAGTTAGAGTGCTTTGCACATGTGGAATAATACCTGAACATGAATCTGAAGGAGGAGAAAACTGCTTCATCGTTCTTTTCTTCCTCTTGCCTGCTGCAGGCATCAGAAGTCAGTCAGGAAGGTGACAGCTCCGAGCACACCTTTGCCATGGTGACCATACGGGTGGTGGACCTCAACAACCACCCACCAACCTTCTACGGAGAAAATGGGCCCCAGAACAGGTTTGAGCTGACCATGTACGAGCATCCTCCAGAGGGTGAAATCTTACGGGGACTGAAGATCACAGTCAATGATTCAGATCAGGTAAATGGAAACTGTGCTGTTTTCCTGTCCTATTTTCCTAAAGACTAGAAAGAGCTCTCAGATGGAGAAATGTCATTTTAGAAACTCAGCTGTTTCACCTGCATTCCCTAAAAGCCTAGGACAGACAAAATAGTGGTAGAGTCCAGTACCCCACAGAGACTGGACCCAGCAGTTCAGTTAGTCTGTCCTGTACTGTTATGCCAATGGGAAGGGTGGTCCTAAACCTGCAGCCCAGGTCTTGTAGCAACTGGAGTTGAACAATCCTTATGAACTTCCCTAACTGCTGGTTGTGTTCATTTGTTGCCAGTGTATTGTCTGAGAACATACTCCCTTTGAAGATTTTCTTGGAGGTTCCAAGCCATTTAGTAACTTCAGGTGTAATTGCTGTCTGCATCTTCTTGTGACCCTTATGTTACAGTCAGGGTCTGCAGTGCATGCTTGGTTTAATCATTCCCACTGGAATGATATTTTTAGGTACTCTTAAAAATTATGCCCAAGCCAAACTAACTCTTACCAGATCAAGGAAAAGGAAAGAAGATTCCATCCATCTCAGCCTGCTGTCTAACAGACCTGTGATACCTGTAGGTGCTAGGGCAGTGGTTGCTATAGGGACCCCTAAGCTAAATACTGTATGAATGACATCCTTCTGAGTTAGCCCCAGGTTAGGTAGTGACAAGAAGAAAGCTTAATGCATCTGACAATTGTATTACTATTGGAAAGAACTCTCTTCTGTAACTGTGCTCAGTATTGTGCTGGTTTGATGGTATTGTACTTTATCAAACCCACTGGCTTCTTCCCCCTCCCTCCTGCTGCTCTGCAGCGAGCAGATAAATGACTGCTTTCAAAGCAGTGCTATGTCTATCCTGCTATTGTCATGGGGGCTGGTGCTGCAGAGGGGAGAAACAAAACCCATCTCTTCTCTTTAGAGACAAAATATATATCTAGGCTGACAAAATATTCAGGCTGCAAGTTAGGCTATAAAATAAGCAGAAAACACTGATAAATACACTGTATAGATTTCTCAAGAAGCTTCCTAGTATAGCACAAGGCATCACTCTAGGGGGGATGGGTTGCTTTTCTTCTAAGGCAGAGAATGCAATTTTTTCCCTTCCATCCAAGATGATTCTGCAGAAAAGAAAATTAAACATGTGTCTGTCTCTGTCACAGCTGCTAGAGACTTTGTTTTGGGGGAGTGGATGAAAAAAGTGGGGAGGAGGAGGAAGCTGTGGTTAAGGTCTGGTTTACGCCTATAGATTGATGGAAATGCCATGCTTACTTGCAAGAAAATGATACAGAAATTTCTCTCCCAGACCTCTTCAACATGGCTTAGGACTCAGTGCTGCTGTTCCCTCAGTCATTCCTGTGTCCCATGGCTGTCTGCTTTGAGAAATGCAGCAGCATGGCAGGCTCTGAGCAGATCTGGGTTCTGTGGACATCAGTGGCAGAAATCACTCAGCTGTTGGAGGGAGGCAGTTCTCTTCCTGTCCCATGCCACAATTCTAGTCATGTACAGTCCCATGTGCCACACACTTTGTCTGACTTTGTCTGACTTTGTATTGTCAGACTCTTTCCATCAGCACCATTTTCCACAGGCCAGCAGCTGTGGCTTTGTGTGTTTGGCTTTACCACCCAGTAAAAGAGAGCCCATTATCATCTCTGTAGTTGAGGTTAGGGTTTGTGTGACCAAACAACACAGACCACTGAGTTTGGATCCAAGGTCACTCTGTTTCCCTTAAGGGACTACTGCTGAATACTTTTTCTCTTGACATGAGCTAGGGCTGCTCAAGAACTGCTCATAACAAGCTCACCAGGGATACAGCTGAAAGTAAAATTGTCCTGTTTGAAAGTTATTATTAGAAATTCATCATCTCAAGATTCATGCTACAGGCAGAGCATGGCACCAGGCAGGCAGTGAATCTGGCTGTTGGTCACAGTGTAAACATGACACTGAGAAATTGGAGAACCCAGAGAGTTTGGTGAGGTAGGCTCAGCTCATTTTCACATCTTCTCTGTAAGGCAGAAATATGAGGATCCCCCTTTCATCTTTTTTCTTACATGCTCCATTTTAGTTTAAAAGAATTAGTCTGTCCAGCTGGCTCTGGCTCACTCTCCCCACTTGCATACAGGTGATGATAACCTTTTGGATACTGCTGCTTCCCATGTTCTCTCTGACTAGAAGGTTTATCTGTGTAAGGGGATTTGCCTTCTCACTTCACCTGGAGCTGTCAAGTGTGTGTCAGATTTTGTCCTGCACAAGTGGATCTCCTCTCTCCCCACAAGTGCATCAACTTCCAAAAGATTTGGTGTTTGCACCTCTGGGCTAGCTTAATCCAATCAGTTCAAAATGTGATGCTCCACCTCTGTTCGGAAATTCCCTCTCTCTGTGATTCTGCATCTTCATCATGCAGAATGCATGATGAACGACTCACACAGCATGTGAGTTATTAGGACACATGCTGGACATGGGAAGTGTTCAAGGCCAGGCTGGATGGGGCTCTGAGCACCCTGATCTAGTGGGAGGTGTCTGTGCCTGTGGCAAGGGGGCTGAAATGTGGTGATGTCAAATGTCCCTCCCAGCCCAAACCATGCTGTGAGGCTGGGTTTGTGAGGTTGTGTTGTCCTTACTGGAGCAGTTCAGTTGTCTTTCCTTGGCAAGACTTCCCTGCCAGTATGCACGTGGTGTCATCTCTGTCTGGCTCCCAGTGTGTGGCACAAAACATAAGGCTGCTTGCCACAGGACTCCTCTCTCAGCCAGGCCTGCTGCAGGGTTTTTCCATTATGACTGAAAGAATAACCAAGCTTGTCAATCTATTTTAAGAAAAGCTGTGTCTGTCTTGTGACTAGGGCTGGAAGGATTATACAACTAAGCTTCTTAGTGATCTCCTGCCCAGGGGATGGAGAGCAGAGGGCTCTCAGCAGTAAGACTTGTTCTCATTTCATGCAGAGCAATCCAGGCTGTAAGAAACGTGACATTACTGAAAACAATCAATGTCATATCTGCTTTTATCAACAGGGAGCCAATGCTAAATTCAACCTCCGGCTTGTTGGACCTGGGGGCATCTTCCGAGTGGTTCCTCAAACTGTCCTGAATGAGGCTCAGGTTACAATAATAGTGGAAAATTCTGCTGCCATTGACTATGAAAGCTTCAAGGTGTTAACTTTCAAGGTACTTCTGCTTTCCAGGTCCTCTTTTTCAGTGTACACAGTATGAGTATGATGGCTTTTGTATCTGATGTGATTTGGCTTCTTAATCCACCCAGAGCTGTCTGATGCATTATCAGATACATGATAGTCCATGTAAGGGAAACTCATTTCTGCCTCTGGTTCACCACCTTCACAAGGTTTAATGGATGCATCTGTGGACTGATTTAGTCCAGTCAGTGCAAAATGTTGATTTTTATGTCTCTCTGGAAACTGTATATGTTGGTGGCTCTGAATCATTCTAGACTGAGCCCTTAGGGTGTTATTTCTGCACTCACAATGATACATTCACAGGATGAAATCCTAATTTCTCTGCAGCAAGAACTTTACCTACTTAGTGCTAAGTAATTTGATTCATGATCATGCTTTTGGATGTTGGCAGCCTGAAGACCCCAACTGACTGGAAGATAATTCCCCAAAATTGCTCACTGCCTTTGTCAGAGTCTATCTATCTGTATGGCCATTTGCAGGCTGACCTGAGGCTCACCCACGCTCTAAACCAGCCCTGCAAGAACCAGTTTAATCCAAAAGCTGGAACCTTGCATTATCACCTTCACTGATGGATTCTTTGGCTCATCAACAAGATAATTAAGTAGTCTGGTTTTCTGTCAGCTGCCTCTGAAATTGAGTGTAGATGTTTCAGTTCTGACTGCAAAGAACTGCATAGACAATCCCTGTAATAATTTTTAAAAACTGCCAAAACAATCTAGCTGAGAATTAACATATGCTAATTTTGTAACGTACAGAGAGGGGCATTTTTTGCACAATCCAAAAGCCAAAATTCCACAATTTTGTTCTCCCCCTTGCTGTGTGGTTTTCTTTGTGTCCTTAGCAAATTTCACTTCAGTATGTTTCAGGCCTCTTCTTGTAATGTTCCTAAGCCATTTTGAGCTTTATAGGTTATAGATGCCACAAAAATATGAGGCATCATTACTGCATTAAACTGGAAGATTCTGAAAGGGCCATAAAGTGCTACTGAAACTAATTATAACAAGCACACATTTATTCAGGTTAAACTACCAAAAGACCAGTAAAGGAGTTACACATGGTCTCCTCATGAATGCCAATAGAAATCAAAGTAGTTAATGTGATTGCCATGAACACCAAAAGAATTAATTACCAGGAAAAAGGATATATATTTTTATAGCTTAAGCAGTTATTCTATTTTTAAAAAATTATTTCTACTGGAGAAAGACTTTCCAAAATTATTTCTACTGGAGACTATAAGACGGCTTAAAAATTGCAGCCTTTTTCTGGATTCCAAACGGAGAAGGTGCAGATGGATGATATGGTAGCAATGTATGGCAGTAAATACTTTATAAAGACCTCATTGCTGGCTTCACTTTCCTGCAAAGTTCAAATCACTTCCTACCCAGTTTTAGTTGTCAGTGTATTCATTATGGTTAGAATATTGGATGAAATATATTTCTATTTAATGTGTATCTCACAACAGCTTTGAGAGATTATCTTCAGGGTTTTGGGGTTTTTTTTCTGTAAGCGATGATCCCTCTCCTCTAGTTCATTTTTGAAGAGTAAAATGCCAGAGAATAATTAAAGCTAATTTGTCTGGGAGATGCACTGAAAAACTTTCTGAAGAAAAGGCTGCTAGAGAAACCTATCTTCCATTTAGTGCTGGCTCTTAAATGTAGGTGGTAGTCAAGAGTTCCTTCATTTTCAGCTGTCTAAGAGCTCAAATGGGTTTCCCAAAGTATGGCAGCAGTGGTAACTCACACCTCTCTGCAGTCCCTCTGCCACAGGGGCCAGATATTGCTGTCCCACCTTGTTATGGGCTGCCATGCTTTGGGGACAAACCTCCTGCCGCCATCTCCTTCAGCTTAGAGCCCATCCTGCCCTGGCAGGAGCATCCAGACACTCACATCTACAGACTGGGACCAGGGGAGGCTGCAGTTATCTTCAGCTGCCAAAATCAAACTCTATTTTAAAAATTCACCTACCACTTTGAAAATTGCATGTCAGTTTGCTCTTCTGGCACCTAGGTATGAATTGTTGATATGTAGTCCTGTGAAGTAATAGTTTTACACTATTTTTTTCTCTCTGCGTGAAACAAACAGTACAGGTCTGCATCAGGCACTGCAGGCAAGTGAGCTGACACAATTTCCTCCCTGAAGGAAGATGTCAGCATGTTGACATAGCAGGACCATGGCTGCTTAAAGGAGAGGGAATAAAAAATAAGTGTAGAAAACAAAGTAAAAATACTGAGCTTTCATAAGGTGTACTAAGATGGGCTGATTGCAGCAGCAAAGATGTTAGAATTTAGTAATAGCTTCATGTGTACAATCAGCGCTAAGATTTTACCTCTGTACTGCTTTAGGAGCTGAGATTTCTCATGAGGAGGTTTTTGCTGATGTCTGCATGGCTGTCCTTTCAAAAATTTCTTTTGCTGCAACACCACCCGAGACTCCCAAACACAAAAGTTTGGGAGATCACAGCAATGGCGTGACCAGGCTCTCCTTTTGGAGCAGCAGTAATTGCCAGCAATCCCTCGAGATTCATTTCTTATCTTTATTTCCAAACATTATAAATGCTCACACAGCAGGCACAGCTCTAGGAGATGACATTGAGATGGCCTTTTCCCTGTCTGCTTGAACAACTCCCCACCCTCTGCTTTCACCTGGAGGTGATACAGTTGTCCCAGTCTGGCAGAGCAGAGCCTTGAGCCCAGGGTGTCCCCCAGGCAGTCGGGGTGCCACTGCTGGGGAGCATCACTCGCCCTCCCCACAGGCCCTGCACAGGAAGGATGAGCTCCCACAGCTCCCAGGGGAGCAGGGGATGCTGTGCCAGCCCTGCTGCTCCTGCCAAAGCTCCCTTAGGCACTCCCTCCTTGTGGGAGCTCCTGGGACACGTCTCCTAGCAATTAAAACCCCTGCAGCCAGATTTCTCAGCTGAGCCTCTTAGATCTCAGTTCACGTCCTGCTCAGTAGTCTATTAGTGGTGTGCTGTCTTCTTAGAGACCTCCTGCTTTGGTTAACTATGTCTCTGCCCAAGCATGAAAACCAAACATTAGACCATTGTTTCTGCTGTTACGCATTTGGGCTCAGCCCCCTCAGAGCTCAGGACTGATGGCCTAGTGCTGATCCTGTGTGATGCAGACACTGGGACAGACCCTGGGAAGGTCCCAATGTCTCTCAGTACCCATTGTTGAAACTGCTCTTTCTGGCTTACAGAACCACCACAGACCACCTGAGCTTGCTGCTCTGCCAGCTGAGGCATCCTACTGATGCTTCCCAAATCCAGCAGATTTTGCTCAGTAAGGAGCAGACAGATACAGTAAATATTCAGTTTACTCTGTGTGATTGCCTGTCCTTTCAGATGAGCAGTTATAAGAATGTGTGATGTCAGAGAGCTCTGTTCTCCTCAGAGACAGTGAGGCAATACAAAAGCCCTCATTTCATCTGATAAAGTCCTAATTAGCATGAGGCAATGAGGATAGAAGTGCCATGAAGTCAGTAGTAGAAGTCCTCACAATCTTTGGGAAACGGGACTCTGCTCTACATGCCTGACCATCCAGCATTTGGGGTGGGAGTAATGCTGCTTCAAAACAACTGGTTCCCTCATCTTTTTTCCCTGTTTGGTGCAGTTTATTGCTCCTGACTTCTTTCTTGGTGAAGAACTTCCTCTACAAAAGATCACAATTAAGTTTATATGCTTATTCAAAATAATTCAGTGGTTCCGTTTCCCAAAGTTCTAGGAACTGCCCAGGGATGATTGTCAGCTTCTGTTACGGTTTTTGGATGTGTGTTGGTTAGTTATGACCAGTCACATCTGTCACATGAAGTCTAATGTGAATACACAGGTTTGAAGGCCTCTTGACTGCCCATCTGAAGCAAGCACATACAAATAAGCTGAGGCCACACGCTGACCTGGCTCATCATCTCCTTGGCTCTGAGCTGTCTGCTCCAACTAGGCTAAAATGCACTGATGGTGCCACAGATGGTGGAGGAAGCTCTTTTAAGAGAACTAATAGCTGCTTTGTGGTGATTTCTGGTTTTTCTCTTCTTAGCTTCTTGCAATAGAGGTGAACACACCGGAGAAGTTCAGCTCGACGGCCGACGTGGTGATTCGCTTGCTGGACACCAATGACAATGTCCCCAAGTTCTCCTCTGACTACTACATTGCCAGGATCCCTGAGAACTCCCCAGGGGGCTCCAATGTAGTTGCTGTTACAGTAAGTTTCATTCACCTCTTAAGAAATGTTCTCTTTTCTGGGTGTCTGTGGAAACAGTTCAAGTACCTTAAAAACAGTGGACAGGGCAAATAGCAAATCTTACTCAACATTTGACTTCTGGACCAAACTCCAATTATTTTCCAGAATCAACCCAAAAAAAAGCACTTTGGGAAAAAATAAAGTTTTAGGCAAATATTATTTAGAACAACAAGGGCCATCTGCTTTTAAGACAAATCCCATGGCCTTTGAGTATTAAGGAAGCCTCAGCCAAATCAGTGTCCAGTGGGAAGATTCAGTTATGGCTAAGTGGAATTGGATTTACTGGATTTGCTTGCTTAAGTATGAGTAAAAAGAAAACAAGATGGCTGCTTAGTAGGTATTAGTCTCCTCCTCTTGGGAGGAACCTGGCTGCTAAAGGAATCATGAAACAGTTAATGAGGGCAAGAATATAAAATGAAAGTGCTTAGGACTGGGGAAAAAAAAGATCCTTATGTATGCATCTTCTCACAGTGGGAAAAATATGCCTATAGATTTTCCAGTATCTTGCATTTTCATACAAAGAAAGTCAGGGTGGTTACATGGGCCCTGAGTGCTGGAGGAGCATTTCCAGCTGCTTCTCTCTAATGCAACTGCTGAGACTGGAAAATGCCCTCATGTAACAAAGCCAAGAAAGCTCCTGGCCACCTGGGCCTTGGTGGGGGATGCAAGTCACCTTGCAGAGGCCACACAGGTAAGGATGGTGGAGGCAGGTTGCCAGAGATCTCCAGCAGAAGCTGGCAACATGTAAGAAAGATGATTAAATAACCAGAATAATAAAGTGCTGAAGGCAGATTTTAGCAATGGAAGAATCAAAGAACTGAAACATAAACAATAGAGAAAAGGTTATTGCATGAAACTAATAGGAAATCTATCAGAAACTCTTAAACATGACTATCTTTGAGATAAAAGGAATAAAAAAAATCTAGGATGTGGAGAGCAAAAAAAGATGAGATTTAAAAAATGTTTGCAGAAGCAATAAAACTTCTGAGCCAAAGTGCACAGGAACGTGTAGCTGAAGGAGCCCATGTAAAATTTAGTCATGTGCTGTCAACTCAGTACTTGACCCAGATTCACAACTATATGTGAAAAACTAAGATGTCTCAAGTACTCAGAATGGCAATTCTGGAAGAAGTCCCAGGTATGCAGATGTTTTAAGTGAAGTCAGACAGTACTAAACTAGGCTGTGGTCAAAATTAGGGGATGAGAGAGTCTGACAAGCTCATACCAAAGACCAAAACTACATATACCAGTAGGGCTGCAGGTGTGTTATGTTAATCATGCAGGAATCAAAGACATTGTTCCAGTTGTCAGATATTTAAACAGCGAGATGAATGAATCAACCAGCACCACCATGGATTTTGATGGCCAGATACAATGGTGTAACACCTCCTCAGAGCTATCAGAGGAGCAGGAGCTCATGGAAATAGCTGCTACCAAATCAATAGCTTTCCTAAGCCTGAGCTAAGAAAGGAAGCCAACAAGAGCATAAAACAAAGATATCATCTGGTAGCAGTATATGCATTATTAAAAGTCACACGGGCACAAGAGTGATTAAAATATAAACAAAGCTGAAATACAATGTATAGATTGAAACATTTGTTATTCATTACTATAAATTGACTTAATTAAACAAGCAGAAGCTTAAAAATACGATATAAGAAGTAAATAATTTTGTCTAGGGAATATTCATTGATGTTTAACTGATAATTAGGAAGGTCTGAGAGCTGGCAGTGTGTTCATGTCACTGAGATCATCTCTATCAAAGGAGGAGGAGGTAACTGTGGATGGATGGGGCCATCTAGCGTCACTCTCTGTGCCAGAGCCCCCGGGCACAGGGACAGCGTTCCTGGGGCTGGCAGGGACATTTCCTGGTCTTAGGCTGTGCACTTTCTGGGTGCTTATTTGCTCATGCGGTTTCCCACTAAAAATGTGATGGCAAAGAGGGTGAAAAGCATTTGGGCCTGTTTTCAAAAGAAAAATGAAACAGATCTTTTTCCATTTTAGTAAAGTAAAACTCTCTTTTTTTTCCTTTCTTAAGGCTACAGATCCAGATTCAGGGCTTTGGGGAGAAATCAAGTATTCTATCTATGGAACAGGAGCAGATCTGTAAGTAACAAGTAAATAAATAAAACTACATAACCTCTGAGCAGAGTTGTAAAATAATTTTAAAAGAAAGGTAGCAAGCTCATTCTTGGTCTGCTTATTTACAAGACATTTATGCCCTGTTCTTTGTGAATTCTGTGAACTATTACTGTGAAGTTACTGTGATCATTAAACATCTACTTCATGAACCCAAGGAATTCTACCCACAAACCCCCAAAGAGTTACAAAGCAGCTAGAGTATCAATACATAGGATTTGTTCAATCACCATTTGAAAAATACTTGTAAGAGAAAGAGAGATTTTTGGTCTAGCTGTGAAAAGTCAGTTCTACAGAAAATTAAATTCTTGGTTTTTTCCCCCTTCCCTTTCCATATGGCTTTACAAATAGCTCTTGTCAAGCTAAATCAAGGAAGACAACACAGTCAAGGATATACACTTCAGCTTTGGAGGTCAGCTGCACTGGCTGTTAAAAACCTTTCATATATTTAAATATAATAGTCCTGCATCAGGAAAAAAGGAATTTGATGCTTGTGTGATTTGGTAATAATGCCTCCCTCCCTCTCTCTGTCTTTGGGAACAGTGCTGGGGGTAGAACATCTTGAAACACTGATTCCTTCACACCATGTCCATCCCAGCCCTCAGACATGGCTGGGATCAGTGCCATGGCTGTCACAGATATTCCTGCTGGAGCCTGCATTCTGCAGGGCAGGATGCTGGAAATGAATGAAAAGCCTGAGCTTTGCAGGCACTGATCTCAAGAATATTTTTTCCTCTGTACGTTATCCACCTGGAGCTAAAGCTGAACTCTTCTCGTTAAGGTGAAAACCATTTAGGAGGCACAATCAAAGTCCAAAATCCAAGATGTTAAGGGTGAGCCTCTTCTGTAGCCAGAAGGATACACATTTGGGAGCATTTCCACGATGGATTATTTTGAGCTCTTCACTAAGTCTTTAAGCTAGCTGCTAACTGCACAGAGAGAAGCAAGAAAAGGTCATGTCATGCAGGCAGACTCTTAGGTTTAGAATGCAGCAGCTGGTGGAAAGAAGCTTGAGAAGGTTGTTGACAAAGGATTTAGGGGGAAAAAAATGTAAGCACAACTTTATTCTGATTGGCATTATGAGGCTGCTCAGATTCAGTGTTCTTATGCTGTTGAATGAAGAAATTATGATGTGAACTTTTCTTTTCCTTCTTAAGTATTTTTGTTTGTTTTCCTCCTGCCAGAATGGCATCAGTCTGCAAGGCTGGATTGATTTTCTAGCCCTGGCACCTCTAGATGTGCTGAACACACAGTTTGATGCAGATAGGAGAATTTCAGCCAGAGGCACAATGTTTCTGTGTTGGATATTACATCAGTGGGTGTGCAGTTGTGTGGGCAGAAAGATGAGTTGTACTGGAGTAAGAGAAATAGTGTTAACTGTTGAAGATGAAACCAATCTGATGGCAATCCTACTTTGGTAATCCAAGCTGCCAGTGGGAGCACTTCTATTCTTCCCCTAAAATGGGAATGATGAGAGTGCTGTCTGCATGGTTAGGCTGGGCTGGGTGCTGAGGAGGCAGAACAGGCACTGTCTCCTACACAGCTATTCCCATCCACAGATCCTGGATTTCATCAAAACTTGTATTTGTATTTAACAGGGTTATGAGAACAATTGAAAATTCAAGATTGCTAAATGCCCCTTTTACCATCACTCTCAATTGCATTCAGAGCTGGAATAGAGAAAATATTTTGCTACCCTGTACATTGATCAAAGGAAATATAAAAACTTTCATCTGTTAAAAGCACTACTGCTTGGAGCCTACAGTGGCAGTCCATTTTAAAAAGACACTTTTTTGGTATCTCCTCCATAAATCCAAACTTTGGGCTGACACTTTTGACAGTGTCTCTATAATTACAAATGTGTAAAACTGAACTTGCAACAGATAAATCTGAACACCCACTCCATCCTAGTGTCAGTCTATGGAAAAATGGTTATTTTTGGAAAAGATAATTTGCTCTGTGGTTTGGGAGATTTAAGAGAAGATTTTTTTCCTACCCGTCCTGAGAACTGAAGACCTTAAATATGATATGAATCACACTTCTTTTAGATATTTAGGTGACATAAATCAGTCTTAATTTATGCAGGACATAATCTATTACAGTGTACTTATAAACTTTCAGTTTAAAAGTACACTGTACTTTTAAACTGAAAAAAAAAGTAAAAAAATAGGCTTAATGTTTTTCCTTTTAATGCAAGAAAATCACTCTGGGAGAAGGCCATCACACTGAGCACTTACTGAGGACAAAGACTTTTAATGGAAAATGCAGCTAAAATGGCACAAGAGAGAGAAAACCAGGAGACACTGACAGTTCTCTGGTTTTCAAGCCTAAAGGAACTAGACAAACACCAGGTAGAGTGAAAGATTTGGAAATATCACCTGGAGAGGAATTAGGTGAAGAGTGCCAGTGTCTGGGCACAGCATTTCAGTCTTTACAGCCTGGAGCAAAGGTGGGATCTAAACACACATTAAGTGACCAAAAGTCTTCTCCTGCTTCTTCTCCAGGTTCCTAATCCACCCATCAACAGGTATAATTTACACCCAGCCCTGGGCTGTGCTAGATGCTGAAGTGAACTCAAAGTATAATTTCTATGTGAAAGCAGAGGACACAGATGGGAAATACAGCTTGGCTGAAGTGTTTATCACCGTGCTAGATGTCAATGACCACTCTCCAGAGTTCAATGAAAACATCCAGGAGAAGACAATGATCATTGGGTCACCAGTGAAGATAGAGGTGAGAGATGGCACTGTGTGTCACAAAGCTGAGTGCTTTGGAAAAGCCCTGGCTCTGCTCTTTATTCTCAGGGGTCATGATGAATGTCTGAAAGTTGTCTTTTCTTGCAGCTTTATTTTGCACATCCATTTGGACGTAACAAATGGATTAAAGTGTAGAATTATAGTATTTACTGACTGCTGAGAAGGAGAAATAAATTCTATAGGCAGAATATAAAGTCCTGTTACAGTATTTGAACAATCAGCTGGGGACAGTCCTGGATTATACAGTGATCACAAGAAGCCCAAACAAGATAAGTGAATGAAAGGGTTTTGAACACATAACCTTCCTGACACCCCTTTGTGTTCAACCACACAACTTAGTTCCCTTCGTTTTGAAGAACCTTATCCAATAATCCAGTGCGGAACAGAAGGTGAAAAAATGCAATAACAATTCCCAGGCTGAACATCCTATTTACACACGTTTAAATGCACATCATGAAGCCTGATAACACAACACCTAATGTTTGTAGAATAAATACCACAGCACAAAAATTAAGGCAGCTATAATTTATGGCATGGAGCCAATCCCATTGTTCTTTATCACTTCACATTTGTCCCCCACACTGTGTGAGAAGCTCCCAGCTGAGGACCATTTGCATTCTACAGATAGGTACAGTTCAGTTTTTTCCTCTGATTTTATTTCATCTCAAATAGAAGTAATTTATAAAGAAAGGAGTCTAGTCCTGCTGTTTTTCACTAGAAAATGTAGCCTAGCTTCCAAAATTAAATGAAAGCAGCCCAGTCATGGCACAGATGCTCTCAGAAGTGAATGCTCAGAAGGTGTTTGTCCTCAGGCAAAGATAGAAACAATAACACCTTTGTTTTTCACACTTCCCCTACCAGGCCATTGACCAAGATGCAGAAGAACCCAACAACATTGTGGATTATTCCATCATGCAAGCAGATCCAGCCAATGTGTTTGACATAGACCAAAGCACCGGGGAGATCAAGCTGAAGTCCTATATCAGATCTCTGGACATCATCCACAACATCACAAACAATAAAGACTGCATATGGTCATTGGTGGTCCAGGCCAAAGACAGAGGCTCCCCATCCTTCAGTACCACAGCAGTTCTGAAGATTGATATCACAGAAGAGGTAAGAAAATGTTTCAGAAAAATCCTTCTGGGAGACAATCCCTGAACGGCACCAAAGGGTAGACATTGCTTGCTCCATTTCTGAGACTCTCTTGCCAGCTCTGTTTTGCAGAGTGTTTCTATAGCCTTGTGGTGAAGTTGGATTCTACAGCCACAAATGTGAAAGATATTTTGATATCTTATAATTTATATTATGCTCCTACCTTTGTACCTTGCAAAGGTACAAAGGTAGGAGCATAATATAACTGGGAGATGAGTTTTTTGTTAGAGATTGTTAGATATGAATTAAGGTCTATAGACTTCTGAGAGTAAAGGTAAATCCCAACTGCTAAAGTTCTGCTTTTTTATTTTCATCCAGGAGAAGAAAAAAAAACTTTTTCCCTTACAAAAAGTGAGTGGAAAACAGCTGGGGTCAGAGTGAACTAAATCAGAGAAGCCACCCTAAGTGACATAGGAAAAGTGAGAAAAAATTTTACAGAAATGCTTTAAAGTACATAGAACTTTGGATGGGAGTTCAATAATTGCAATATTATTAGCAGATGAAACAAGACTTTAAAACAGCCTTGCACACGTAGGCTGAGATTTTCCTTAGTCCAGCTTTTAAGTCAGCTGAAGAACAAGCAGCGATTTATGGTGTGCAGCACACGCTTGCACAATTCTTATTTATTGTAACTGCCTTGCTATGCCTTTAACTAGGTACCAGCAGGGAGGAAATGGGCTTTAAAGCAGATGAGAAACACATCATTAGCCTGACAGTCTCTGGATCACACACATAAACAGGCCAAAGATGCAAATCTCATCTTGCAGACAGCAGCTGGCCTTCTCTTTGTTTGGTCACAATGCTCCCACTGCTCTTAGGTCTGTTATAATCTTTCTCTGTTTACTCCATCTCCTCTTATTCCCCTGATACTCTGAGGCACATTCATATGATAGTTTTTGTACACAGTTCAGAGCCTGCTGGACTGCCAGGGGACTTGGGTCTGCCCCAGCAGGGCAGTGCCTACATGGGGCTGCCTTTGGGGCCAGCCAGCCCTGTGAGCGTGAGCTGGGCTTGCTGCTGCAAGGCTCTGCCACGTGGAGCTGGGGGACTCTGCATGCAGGGGGTCTGTGGTGAGTCTAGAGATTTAGCTGGTCTTACAGATACAAAGGAAATCTATCTTAACTGCTTAACACTTGGATTTCTCATGGAAATGAAGTTTTGGTGGGTTTTATGCAACAAACAAGAACTGCTGCCCACAGCCAAGAGCAGGAGTGGTTTCCCTCCCTGCTCCTCACATGCTGCATGTTTCAGGAGTGCATGGCAGCAGGTGGACCCAGGCCCAGTCCTCAGGCATGTCCCTGCTGGTGGCCACCAGCCTCCCCTTCCCTCCTGGGTGAGCTGGAAACCTCTCTGTCAGCGTGTGGGGCTGGTGGGTGTGAGTGGAGGGAGGGTGTCCCACACCTCCCTGCTGGGGGACAACATGTCCCTGAACCAGCTTAAGAAGGACAACTAGAAGGAAAACAAAAGTAGCTGATACTTTGGGAAAAGGAGTTTCCTGAATTTTCTGCTAGTGCTTGAAGCAATAGCAGTACCTGATGGAAGATGGTGTCCTGTATGAAGTCCCTTGTCTGCTCCCTTTTCTCCCCCTCCAGAAGTACATATTTAGCACAAGGTGAGGGAAAGCCCTCCTCATAAAGTCTGAAGGGGAAGCAGAGAGCATGTGATGACATAGATTTCCTCACACAGAGTTCTTTTCCTTCTTCTCATGCTCTTCTTGATGCCAAGTCCCAACAGAGAGTCTGAGATAGCAACAGCATATTCTTTCTTTGAGTAGGTTTCTTCAGCAGAATCTGGGCTACTAATCTAGTGTCACATCCTCCATGACCTTTTGTACATGTCTCGATTACTTCTTCCATGGCTTGTAATGATTTGGGTTGGTTGGGTTGGTGGGATTTTTTATCCCATAGCATCCCATCTTTTTTGCAGAAACAGATTTCAGTTTGCAGGTACATGAGATGCAGTGCCACTGTCCAAAACCCTTGGTCACAGCCTGTGTCCCAGGGACACACAGTCACTGCTAACACTTTGTGAAGAAAACAATCTCTTGGTGTAGGCATATTGCAAACACACTCTCTGTCTCTCTTTCTCTGAGGCTGTTACAAATGTGCATTTCATCCAGCTGTACAAAGGATCTTATTTCACTGTTTGGTGGGCATTTATGTATTACTGATTTTGGATAAGGAGGATATTTTTGAATGCATCCTCTAGAGGTTTCCGGCAGTGTTAATCACAGTAAGTAATTAAACAGGCATATTTTCTGATTAACGTTTACCATTGCAATTAGCACAAGTCTGTGCCCTTCGAGATGGATGCCTTGTGGCTAAGTTCAGCAGTATTGCACATCAAAAGGACCTTCTCTTGGAATAATAGAGTGCTAAAAGAATCCAAAGGCCTTTTAATTTAACTGAGTCTGATTTTATGGAAATTGGCATTGAGGGGCATCTCTTAATATCCTATCCTTTCACAATAAATAAAAAATGCTCTTTCACAGAATGAAAAAACATATGCTGGAAAAGCCAGTCTTTTTCCATCCATATGTCTCACTCAGAAATCTATTCCTGCCTGGTATTTTCAGAGAAGGCCGATTCCCACTCCTGTTCCTGAAAGTTGGCCTGATGGGGGCATCCCTTGGCCTCTTGATGACTCCACTGAGGTTCTGCAAATGTAGAGGGGGCGTTTATTTACACCCCCTCACAGGCTGAGCCTTAAGTCCATATTTAGACAGCATAATCTGTAGTTCTTAATAGCTTTGACCACTCATTTAGACTTCTAAATATAGCTGGTGAGTCTCAGTTTTAGATTCTCTTAACTGAAAGGTTCAACAAAAATCTTTGAAGTAACATGGAGATCTTCTGTTTCATGCTAATGGCAACCATGGGAGCTGTGGTTGCTGGCACTGAACAGCCCTTGCCACATTTGCAGAGCAGTTAGCCTCTTCTTTCCACAGTTTCATGGACTTGAAGTGTATACTGGTTTGATTTGCGAAGTCTAGCTTCATGCTGGTGTTTGTATTGCAAAGTGCTGCAAACACAGCCTTCATATACAGTGACAGCACTGATCTTTGGGATAACCACTGCAGGGACAGCTGGTGTTCTACCTCGGATCAGGAGTCACTTCTGAAGCAAATCTCCTGATCATCCCCACATGCTGTGGGATGGCCTGTGCCTCACATAGCTCCAAGCACACAAGGTGGATTCTTTCAGAGGAAAATGTGTTTTGGAAGCACACCTAGTGTGCCAGGGCACCAACAGGCAGTCCCTCCCTGCAACCAGGCTAGAACAAAACCCCAGAAACACTGAATGTGTGGAAGTGGGCTCCTCAGAAGCAGCTGGTTCATTGCACAGATTGTACAGATCCACTTGCTCAAGTCAACAGAGCCCAAGTTGTCTGTAACAGAATCATTGAACCAAATAGTTACGATGGAGTCCAACTCCAGCACTGCCAAGTCCATCACAAAACCATGTCCCTTAAGTGCCACATCTACAAATAATCTGCAATAGCTTGGGCTCTTAACAGGTTTGCCTACTTACTTAGACTCCTAAATATAGCTGGTGAGCCTTAGCTGCTCTTGTGATTGAAGAGCTCAACCACATTCCTTCTGGGTCCAGCTTCTGGATACTTGGCCCACGTGCTCTGCTCACTGCAATCCATGCATTAGGAAAGGCTCTTGAGAAGCTGCCACAGCCAAAAAACCCCCAAAAAACAGCAGAGCATTATCTTCTGTGAGCAGTGGTATTTTGGTATTTTAACTCCCTTGATGACTGTTAAGGAGTGTTTCTTCCATGTCCCAACTCACAGAGATGTGACAGCTTTCATTTAATCATGTATCTGTTTTTATTTTATGTGCACCAGAAAAACCAGTACCCTTCAAAATGCAGCATGCCTTTTAGGAAAAAACAACAGCTTCAGCAATTCAACAAATAGTGTCACTATTTGTTGAGCTGGCTACATCACACTGCTGGTAATCAACACAAGGACTTGATGTTTTAAATGTGCACTTCCCATAAGTCTCTCTGCAGCCTGGCTAAGATTATGACATTCCTGGCCTGTATTGCAAGTTATTCCTTCTATTTATCCTGCCAGTGTCATGGCCATGACAAACAAACTCTCCCACTGTGTGCTTACAAAATGTCTGATGTTTTTATGCAGAACAGTTGTTGTCCAAGGCTAATTCCAGGCAAAGCTTTGTATAGTAGAGGTCAAGTAACTAAAATAGAGGCTGAACCAGCTAGCTGTTAATGGGTTTAGTTTTGGTATTAATCATCTCTTCATCACTGGAAGCTCTGAACAGATGCCAGATTTTCTGAGGCCAAGAGACAGAACGAAGCCAAATGTCAAAACTCTCCATACAATTTTTTATCTGTTCTTACCTCTGCAGCTATGTACATGGGCAACATGTATTTCTGTCTAATCTCATTTATTCAAGGTTTTCAAATACCTAGTCAAATACTCTTCAGCCATCAGTGCCTTCCTATAAAATAGATCTTGACAAAACTCGTAACAGGTGGACTCAGGTCACATACTACTTAGCAGGGTTTATCTGACACTTAATTTATCTGACTTTCACATGAAGTTAAGTAAGCCAGGGTATAATTTCTATCATCTGATGGGATTTAAGTACAAAAAAATCCATGTAACACAGAACAGCAAAGCTGATGTGAGTCTAAGCTCCACCAAAGTCATGGGCTGCTTTGTTTTTAGTTTTTAGTTCATGTCCACTCCTAATTAAGTACTGGAAGAACTCTCTGTACAGCAAAATGATGAAAATTTGTCCCTACCTGCCCAGTGACACAGTCTGTGAGTTTCACTAGCATTTCTTTGCTACTTTCTCGTTGGCAATGGGACACATTCAGGGTAGGAGAAGAGTGGGCTTGATAAAGTGTTTGAGATAGGTTGTGAAAAAACAGAAATTAAGGCAAGGAGGTGTTTATTAGCTAATTTACATGCCTCTAGTTTATGGATGTGATATTAATGACAAGAGGTACTCTGAAGCACACTCTGGGATACTCTTAGTCATCTTCCCCCACAGACTGGGGAGGGCAAAGAGATGGGCATCCTAGATTAGTGTCACACAGGGAAATCCATCTGATCTACTAGTCAGAGGTTCAAGTCCAAGGTACTGACAAGGTTCTCCTTATACACACTGTCTTTGACACCTATTTTAGCATATGGTAACTACTGCTCCAGAGGGGTCCTTTTCTCCCCATTGACCAAGAGCTGGGAGCTTAGACCTCTAACTAAAACACAGCTCACTGGACATGCAAAGTTTGGGTGGATTCCCTCCTGTAGTCAAAGACAGGGGACTAGGGCACAGTGGACAGCCCTGTCTTTCTGCAGCCACACATCACTCTATGACCAGCTCTCAGTAACCACACCTGAGTGTGAATGTGCCATTTCTGAAGGCTCTCCTGGCCTTACATAGCACTATGTTTGTTCAGACACCACCTGTATTCACAATGAACTTCTCTTGGAAATGCAGTCCAAGGATAGGCTACCACACCCTGAATAAGGGTGATCTATGTGCCATGCCTCTAGGCTTTATTCCCCAATCAGCCAGGTGTTTATATGTGCCCCCTAACTTCTGTAACTGTTTCTGGATTCAGTTCGACATCATTGCAACCGCCTCCTCTCCTGTGCCTAGTTCAACACTTAGCTCCCTTTATTTCATAGGCTTTCTATCCTGTGCACATTTCAGCCTAGTTCCCCAGCTGTATTTATAATAGATACTGGCCTCTTTCAAATACAACCATGTGAGGGTTGACCATTTCTCTTATTTTTGATATTTCCAGATCAAGTCCAGGGTAAAATCCTATATTTTAGGCCTCAAGAAGCGTCCATGGACAATATATGGAATATGCATGAGTGGCGTCCTTTCCACCATTTCTGTTACAATGGTGATCTCCACCATCATGTACTGGAAAAGTGTGAAAAGATCCAAGCTCCACCCGCAGGGCAAAATCCGCAAAATTATACGGGGACCTCCAAGACGCACAGTGTGCTGAGCTGGAAAGTGAACTGGCCATTCATTTGTCCTTAATATGCCATATGTAGCTTATGTCATTGCTGATTTCTTCTCTTTCTATAAACAAAGCTCTTTAGCTCCACTTATCTCCCCTACCTCAAAGAGTTTTGTTATGTCTGTAAAAGAGTACTTGAAAACAGAATGAAGCACATATCTGCTAACTACTCATTTGTACACTGACGTTTTATAAGCAGAAGCTTTCTCCTAATCCTTTTCAATGCCATGCTCAGTAATTGAGTCAATTATTTTCTTGCTCCATTCTTGCAAGTTAAACACTATGGTGACATGCAGGAATCTGCCCTAATTTGGTGGCAGTACTTCTGTAAGCTTTTGTGTTCAAGTCATCTACCTCAGAGTACTATAATGTTTACCCAGTCTCCAGCCCCATCTAAATTCTCCAGCCCTGGACTGGACTGGCTGTGTGACTCTCATATTTTTTTTAGAGACAACTTCCGTCAATCAGCTCTACTTGTAACATATTTTGGACAAATGAAATTTCTGGGTCACTGTCTGTCCCCTGGAGTAAGTCATGTGTTTTCTTTGTACTCCTTTACAGACTCTTCACAAAGGGCCTATGGCCGCCTTTTTGATGCAAACTAAAGATAACCCCATGAAAGCCTTAGGAGTGCTAGCTGGTGTCATGGGCATAATGGTGCTGATAACTATCATGATCTCTACTGCCATGTTCTGGCGCAACAAGCGGTCCAACAAAGTCATGCCGGTGAGGAGGATCATAAAAAAGAGACAGGTGCCGCCATCCCGGACGGTCAGGATGGAGTGGCTGAAGTTCAAGAGGCCCAGCAACGCTGCAGAGAAGTTTGTGGTTGAGGAGGACGTGAAGAGCCTGCACAATGAGAACAGCAACAATAACGTGCAGGTTGTCCCTGTGCCGCCGGCAGCCCCCGTGCCCCCGCCACCCCCGGCCCTGGCTCCCCGAGGCGATGGCCCAGGGTGGCGGGTGCCAACCGTGTCCGGCTCCCTCACTCCCAAGCACACCATCAAGCCACCGAAGAAGAAAGGTCACAGCAGCACCCACAACGCCCTCGTGTCAGAGCTCAAAATGAGGTTTGAGAAGAGGAACGCAGCTTTCGGAGAGCCCCACATCTAGGTGCTTCCAGCAGTCCCCAGAGACTGCAGACTGTGGCTGGGAATGTTTTTACTTTCTGTCTCTTCCCTGTGTCTGTCAGCACCCTGTGAACCAGAGCAGCTTCTCGCTGTGATAGCCACCCCTCACCTTCTGCAAGCACCATCGTGACTGCTGTTCCCTTGGTCCCATGGGCCCTCCTGCAGCTGAGTCTGCCCACGGTGCTGAGTGTGCCAGCCACAGTCTGCCCAGATGAACAGGGACTCAGGCTGCCCCTGGTTTGGAGGTCTCTACCCAGAGCTTGGGTTTTCAAACAAGATGCTCTGCAGCCAAGACCCTGGTGGATGCTTCTTCTGACCTGGTCTGGCAGGTGGGTTTGAGGTGTCTGAAAATCCATCACTTCAAATCCCAGACCCAGTTTTGAAGATGTGGCAGCAGCACTGAGTCAGTTGCAGGTCTCCTACAGCAGTGGCACTGCTGTGTCCTGTGCACAGTGTGCTTTGCAGCAGCTGGCGGAGCGATGTGCTCCTGGCCTCAGTACCTTCATTCCCAGAAGGTAAGCAGGCAGGCTTGGAGAAGTTCTTCCTTTTCCTGCAGCTTACTCTGGGTTTTGCCAGAGCACATTGACATGATGCTGTGCTTTGCTTCTGCCCTGGACTTGCATGCTGGGGAGAGACAGGAGAGGCACCTCAGCCTTCCCTGGACCAGCAGGGTTAAGATTTGAGCATGGAAGTTCAATAGCAGCACTCACTCGGCACTGCCTCCTTCTGACACTGTGCTCCAAAAGAGCAGGAGCCCAGCAGGAGAAGGACATGAATAAAAACACTGGGAAGACAAGGTAAAATTGAGAAGCAAATGATAAGTGGAAGACAGAGACAAGTGCTGTAAAGTTGCATATGTTGGTCAGGGAAGTGTCTGGAAAGATCATGTGGTGTTGTACACTGCTAGCAGAAGGTGTCAAGAAATATATTTCATCACCTCTCCTGGCTTGTTACTGGGACTGGTGTGTGCAAAAGGAGGTTTCCATAAAATATTCAGGCTTTTCTTATCAGTATTTTTGAGTGAATTAAACAACATTTAATGGGGGGGACTGGCAGGGCAGCTGACAGGTTTTTCTTTTCCTGTTACATGACAGTAGAAAGGCAGCAAGAGCAGAGCACTTTTTTCACTGGATCTATCCCACAGACCCCCCTCAGGTTTGTTTCTGAGATGTTTTTCATCTGGCCCTGGCTGTTTCCCATCCCCTGGGGAGAAGGCAGCACCGACTGACCGAGCTGGCTGGGGAGTAGCACCCTGCACTGTGTCTCTGAAAGCCAGCCCTGCAGAGAAGCTGTGCTGTCATGGTACCAGGAACATCAAGGTGGGGAGCACTCTGTGTTAATTCAAGGGGTTCATGAGAGTTCTCCAGCTGTCATTTCAGTTAACCAGCAGACCTGGCCCTCAGGATCTCCTCTCACTCCAGCAGCTGAAATAATTCCCCTTTTTGCACCAGGACTTCATCAGTTTAGGAGATAGCTGGTTGAATATGAAATTATGCACTTACAAGGAAAATCTTGTATTTTTTTAACTTCAGTTCAATCTGCCTAGAGGCCATAGTGCTCGTGGCTCATGTCACCCATGAGCTGAGCCAGCAGCTGTAGCCAAGAGATCCAGGAGAGTCCCAGCTGGGGGCCAAGGCAGGAGCGCTGCTCCCAGAGCCTCTCCTGTCACATCTCTCCTTTTCTCCACTGTTTTCTTGCTTATCCCTCCTCCTGGGGCACTGTGATGTGAGGCCAAGTTCTCACCTGTCCAATCACCTCGTCCTTGTCCCCTGGCCATAAGCTGGCTGGAGGGAGGGGACATGCAGCCCCTGACCCCACTCCTGCTGCCCTGTGCAAGCACCTGCCTTCTGCTGGCTGGGCATCTGCAGGTTCTGCAATGTTCCCCCAAGTCCCTGATTTATTCCCCATTCCACTGTCTTCCCAGTTTTGTGTTATTGCCAGTATTCAGTGTTCATTCTCTAATGAGGAAAGCCTATAAAGACCATTCAATTATGTCAGATTTAACAGGAATTACAGGCTTATAGTCTTAGAGATTATATTTAAGAGGCAATAAAGATGTTTTATTACTATGTTGTGAGACTCCTTCCCAGTTACTCTGTATTTCAACTTGAAGAGTTTTTTTAATAAAAAAAAAAAAATTAAAATCTGCAAAAGATGCTTCTGTGCTTGGTGTGCTTCTGCTGGCAACGATGCCTTGTGCTCACCTGTTACATTACCAGACAAGCAGCCAGGCCACTTTTATGGTGACCAAATGGACCCTTCTGTGGGCTGTGAGTAAGGAGAGGGGCTGTGTGGGTTTTGGACACCACCAGGCTGGAAGGAGGGGAGGTGAGAAGCAGGATGCCATTGGCACAGGCCATGGGCAGAGTCACAGAGAGCCCTGGCCGAGCTCCTGTGGTACAGAGCACTGCAGCTGGCCCCAGGGGCAGGAGGGCAGCAGGTTCAGCCTGCGCCAGTGCCCAGGGTCTGCAATTTGTTATGAACTAATCCACAGGTCAGGGGATGTTTTATCCTTCCTTGGCTGTTTCCTCAGAGATTCAGCAGCTCTCTCCAGTCTCTACAGTGTGCTGTTGTCCCTCCCTGCTGACTGGGGTGGAAGAAGGCCGGTCATTACTGACAGTGCTTTGTTATTTACTCCCCCTCACCCACAGCCCCACACTGGTCTCCAGCCAGCATCAGCTCATGGCTCACTCTGTACTAGCTGTGTCTGTGGCTGGCTTTCCCAGGACAAGGTTTTTCTGCTTGGCCAGCTGCTGCTGCCCCTTCCTCACCACTCCAGGGCCCTGTGACTTGTACTGCAGCTGCCTGGCCTCCTCCAGCCCTGCAGCAAAACCCCAGAGCTCCTTGGAATCCAGGTTTCTTTGCAATTTGTAACTGTAAAAGGCCAGAGAAGAAGCAGAGGACCTCTGTGTATTCTGAAAACCGGTCGTGTTTATTGCTTTGACACTAAAAGACTGACAAGATTAGGAAGTCCTGTGAAGTATTGACAACGAGAGTCAGCAATGACAAAACAAGAGCTCTGTTCAAAGCTGTGCAGTACAGTACAGCAGGAGGAGGTGCTGGGAGGAGAGACAGTGTGGAAAACACACACCAAACACCAAAATACAATTAGAAAGCCAGGCTACCACAGCATGAAGCTCACAACAGCTGGGGTGTCTACTCTAGATTCTTCTTTTTGAGACGATCTATAACACATATTACAAGTGCTGTGGGTCTATGGGCCACATGCTTTGGTTTGCTGGAAAGCAAGAGGTCAAAAAAAAGAAAAACAGTAAGTCACATGTCCTCAGACCTCTGAGAATCACAGCAGTGAGCTGCTTCACAAGCAGGAGGCAGTTGCTTTTACATGCATCTTTGGGCTTTTTTGCCTCTAGCAAAGAGGCGAGCTTTGGTTTCAAAGCAGCAGGATAGGCAGGCACCTGTCTGCATTTAGGGAATGCGCCTAGCTTGCATCTTCAGCTCCCAACCCCATCCTCCACTCTGTTCTCTGCCTCTGTCAACTTGTCCCACTAGCCTGGTTCAAGCACTTGCACTTTTCCTGTTTGTGGCACAACCAAAGCTGTGAATCTCTGAGGGCTGCGTAAACCTTAAGGAGGAGTAAGAAAAAAAACCCCACCCCAAAACCAATACCTCTGGTCAAAATATTTTTTTTTCTCCAACTAAAATAAAATCTTTTCCTCATGTTGACCCAATCCTCCCCACTGTTAGTTGTTGCTGGGCTGTGACGGCAGGCGTGCCCAGCTCCCCTGTGCGTTCCCAGAAGCTGGCACACAGGAGAGGCTGGCACCGGGCACCGGACAGAGCTGCGGGCACACAGAAATAAAGACACACCTGTGTGGGTGAGGGAGGGACACTTCTGGCCTTCGGCCACAAGCACTACTATTGCTTCGGGGGTTCTTTTTGTTAGTGTTGGTTCTCTTGGCGTGTCAGTGTGCGTTGCTCCATGACAGTGCTGCAGGGACAGGCTACGGAGGCGCAGCTCCCCCACCCCAGCGGCACCTCCATTCCCAGGGCACCCCGAGCCTGCTGCAAGCACCGGCGCTGCGCCCGCCGTGCCCGAGCCCCGCAGCACGGAGCCGGCCCGGCGCAGTCCTTGGAGAAACCCAGCACCGGCTGCGGGCGTGTGGAGGCGCCGCAGCGCGGCAGGGCCCGGCTAGTAGAGGTCGGCGCTGTTCCTGTGGGGCGGCCGGGCCTTGCCGGGCTCCGGGCGGTCCGCAGGCCGCCGTGCGCCGCCGTCGGGGCGGCACAGGCCGTCCTCGCTGCCGGCGGGCAGGCTGTCCAGCGTGCTCTCCTTGCTGCCCGCGGCCTGCGCCGGGCCCCCGCGGCGGCGGCGCGGGCACGCGCTGGGGCAGCGGGCCAGGCAGCCGGGCAGCGCCTCGGCCGTGCAGGCGTACATGCCGGCCGGCACGGCCAGCACCATGGCGCACACGATGACCACGATGTGGATGAGCTTCTCGCGCTGCTCCATCTGGCTGACGTCGCTGCCCGTGACGAAGACCACGCACTGGCCCTTGCGGGGAGCCTGGTTGCGCACGGCCACGCACACCTCGTACTTGGTGGCGGGCAGCAGGTCGGTCACCGAGTACGTGTTGACCCCGGGCCCGATGTAGATGGTGTCCTTCTGGGCGGCGTCGTAGCGGCCCACAAGGAGGGTGTACCAGGTCTCCCCCGGCTCCGCGGCCGCCGCCGCCGCCGCGAACCACTCCAGGGTGATGCCGTAGACCGTCTGCTTGGCGATGCGCACCTCGACGTGAGCGCCCGGCTCCGCGGGGGCCGCGGGCGCCCAGCCGCGGGGCGTGGTGCTCGCCCACGGGGCCACCACGCGGAGGTTGATGGCCACCGAGGCGTTGCCCAGGAAATTTGCGGCTGTGCAGGTGTAATTCCCGGCGTCTGCTGGCCGTGCGGCCGGGATCAGCAGCTCCGAGCGGACGGTGTCCTCGCTGATGGGCTCCGTGGACACTGCGGGCAGAGGTGAGTGGGTCA